ACAGCGGTGGTGGTGGGAGCCTCTCCCGCCTCCTCAGCAGCACTAAGGATGTCCGACTGCAGCTTAGGCCTGCTCCCCGCTGGCAAGTGGCCATCCCCTGAGGGCTCCCAGACTGCCAGAGGGATGTCTGACTTGCCAGCTTAGACCCAATCCCCTGGGGAGCAGGCCTAAGCCAGCAGGTGGTCATCCCCCGAGGGGTCCCAGACTGCAAGAGGGCACAGGCCAGGCTGAGGGACACACACCCCCCCCCCCCGAGTGCACAAATTTTTATGCACCGGGCCTCTAGTAAAATATAATACTACAATGTGAACTTCCAGGGTGCTGTTAAAGTTCGATTTCTTTTTTTTAATAGAGTTTTTTTTATTGATTTCAGAGAGAGAGAGAGAGAGAGAGAGATAGAAACATCAATGATGAAGGAGAATCATCAATTAGCTGCCTCTTGCATGCCCCAACTGGGGATTGAGCCTACAACCTGGGCATGTGCCCTGACCGGGAATCAAACCGTGACCTCCTGGTTCATAGGTCAATGCTCAACCACTGAGCCACACTGGCCAAGCAAGTTCAATTTCTTGATAGACGCATTCACTTTGGGAAACTTTATCAAGCTGTGCTTATGATTTGTACCATGTTCCTGTATGTATGCTAAACATCAATGCAATTTACCAAAAAAAAAAAAAAAAAAAAAAAAGGAGTCCATGCCAGTCTTGTTCTAAATTGGTGTTTGAGTTGGCAGCTGATGTTTGGGATGTAGTCATTTACACTTGAAGTTAACGTGAAACCCTTGCAGGTGTGGGGACATTTGAGCATTTGGAGTCTCTGCTCTTGGCGGGGCGGAGGGGGGGGGGCGTTCTTGATAGGGGTGAGACATTTCAGTAGCACCAGCTCAGTCTTCCCTCCAGATAAAAATGGAAACTGCTGGCGTATGAGAGTTCCTGGGTGTGGTTCGGGTGGCTTTGTTCTCGGGGGCCCTGGGGATGTGGGGTAGCCACCGCGCACTCAGGGCCAGCGGGGAATGCACACTTCACCCCGTGCCCAACAGGAAGGAAGGAGAACTACGTCAGCTGTTCTAACACGAAGAAAAGTTGACTTCCTCCTCTTCGGAGCAGACTCCTCTGATCTCTTCTCTCGCAGTTGATTCAAAGGTAGGCTGAGCATCCAGGTACAGCGTGGGGCCATTTGGGGGCCGGGGTGAGTAGAGATTACAGCTGCAGTGACTTTTCTTAGATTGATGGCATTAAAAGGTGAGAAACAAAAGCAATGGTAAATTAAACAAAGGTGACTAGTCACTTTATTGAATAGCATACATTTAAAATTCAGGGTGATAATGATTTAAATGATATGGAGGAAGCATGTTAGAGTTACTTAAAACAAAAACACTATCCCAAAGCTAGATGGTGTGAATTTTTTTAGGCGGTGGTACAGTGTCCAATTTCTTCTTTGGCTTGTGCGTTACTGTATGTATAGTTTATTACTGTTTTGCTCTGAGTCTGCTGCATAAATTCTGTTTGCTTGGATCAGCCATAATCTTCAGTTTGGAGGAGGAACAGAAATACAATTTTAAAATAAAAAAATTAAATTAGCTGTGGTCTAATTTAAATTTCTTTCAATTAAACTTCCTTAATGCCCAAACCAATTTCTTGGCAAGAGGAGAGATTCTGAGAGGAAAATGCACAGCAGATATTAAGGCTCCATTGAGCTAGAATTGGTGTAGAAAAGGTTATCTGGCCAAGGAAGTGGGAAATTCTAACTTCTCTGCTCAAACAGAGCAGAAAGCTTTGGAGCTAAATGGACCCAGATTAGAATGTGACATCAGGTAAATTACTTAATCACGCCAGCCTCACTCTTCTCATCTGTAAAATGGGTGTATTTACTCCATCATGTTTGTTGTGTGTTGAAATGAGGATTGAGGTATGCAGAATACTTGGCACACTGTCTGGCCCAGAGTAAGCGCTAAATAAATAAATCATAGCTGTTGGTACAGTTGTAAGTAGTAATGACAATTGTAAGTAGTACCTATAAGAATATAATAACATTAATTCTCATTTCTTCACCCTTCCATAAGAAGATGTCAAGTATAAGCCATGAAAATCATGGACTCCTGTGTCAGTGTTTTACTCGGATTTTTTTTTTTGGGGGGGGGGGGCGGGAGGGGCAAGATACCCTCCTGCCTGGGAAGAGAAAGCAGGATCAGCAGTGCACTGTGCGGGCTTTCAGAGGAAATTCCCTTCTCAGCTTGGGTGGGTGTCAAGTTTTCTAGATTTAAGCCCATGTACACGCAACCTCACGTGTAACGGATGGAGTTTTGAGGGACCTGCAGTTACACAGCTTGTGGAGAATTCTTCAAGAAAAGGAATACAGAACTAGGTGCCAGGCCTTGGACAGGGCGTGCGGGTGAGGGACGCCAGGGCTGGCGCTCACTGGCTTGCGGAATACCCACCTCTGATGAAGTAACAGCAGAGCAAAGGAATTCATCAGCGCACGTGTCCGTTTCGGGTCAGACTTTGTGATGGGCGCACACGCCTGTCGTCTCGCCTTTGCAGAAACGAATCTGTCCCGCGTGCGAGTCTGGGCCCAGGTGGGTGGGAGCCGCAGACAGAAAGCTGCTCTCCATTCACCTCCTTCCTTGGGCGACGCCGCCTTCAGGCGGTCACGGCCTCCGGAAAGGATAAACACACGCCAAAAAGACACGGGTGGCGTTTTCCGTGGCCCTTCCAGGTCACCTTGGCCCCCAGCCTCCCCCTGCGCCAGGCTGCCTTCTCGGCGGTGCAGCTGCTCCAGGAAATGGCTGTGGCCAAGCCCCCGAGTGGCCTGCGCTGAGGCTGTGGCTTTGGGGCTCTGAGAACGTGCTGTCATTTCCCCTGCAAGCGGGGCAGCGATGACGCTCCTGCTCGCTCCTGTTCACACGTTCACAGGCCACACCCGGCCCCTCCGCCGTGCGCCACATTTCCAGCCTGCAGGTCGAGTCCCTCCCTCACGGCAGGGAGGAGTCTTTCTGTCCTTTGATTTCAGGGCCAGCTGCTCAGAGCTGGCAGGTAGGTGGGAGAAATGGGGGGGGGGGGGTGCGTTGCAGCCTGCAGGTAGATCGTTGGCTTTCCCATCCTTCCCCCCCCCCCCCCAGTCTCTCATTTCCGGTACTCCCTCCACCGCCCCCCCTCGCCCCCAGCTCTGTCAGGTCTAAAAGCCAAAGGCAAGAGCACTTTGCTCTTAGGTGGAGGAAAGCAAGCAAGCACGTGACTGGCAAAGTGGCCCTGCACACCCTCCCCCGGAAGCCCCCCTGACCCCCGCCCCCGCACCTCCACTGTCCGGTGGAGAGCACCTGCCTCCCCGTGAGCACTCCTTCTCTGTGGAGGTCGTGGCTTTTATACTCACCCTACATGTTGTCGCTTGTTTTCTGGCTGCAATGTGAACTTTTTTTTAATATATATTTTTATTGATTTCAGAGAGGAAGGGAGAGGGAGAGAGAAACATCAGCGATGAGAGGGCGTCATCGATCGGCTGCCTCCTGCACGCCCCACATTTGGGGATCTAGTCCACAACCCGGGCCTGTGCCCTGACCGGGAATGGAACCGTGACCTCCTTGTGCACAGGTCGTGGAATGTGAACTTCATGAATGCGGACACTGGGTCTTGTTTATTGTGGATCCTCACTGCCACGTGCTTGGCAGAGAGCAGGCTGATAAAGTCGGGCTGTTGGGCTGATGGACTAAACCCCGTGCTTGTCCGGATGCCCCTGTTCCACTGGGCCCGGCAGGACTGCACACGGACAAAACGGAAATGCAGGGATTGAAGGACATGCTGGCTTAGGGGGCACCCCACCCCCACCACTGCGGCCTGCATCCCTGTCAATCCCAGACAAAGACGTGGCTCCCGGCCTGGGCCTTGCTGAAGGGAAAGGGAAGACAGGCTGAGGGGAATCCTCCTGCATCCTCCTTGCTTTGTTCCAGCTGTTGGAGCAAAGGGCTGGACCCCGGTGATCCTGGATGCGTGTTGGAGCCAGACTGACGGCCAGATCTCCGCGGAGATGGCGGGTTTGGTGTAAATGCATCTCCCCGCGGCTGGCGACTCTTTCCTTCTGAGTGGTGCCCTGGTATAGGGGTCACTTCATTGGTGTCGAATTTCTTTGCCACTCAAAGTATTTTATTTTATGCATTTAAATATGGACGGTTACCCATCTTTCAATATAAAGATTTAAAGGAACAAAGGTTAGGAATCACTGCTTAAAGAGACTGATCCCTTGGGCGTATTCACTGCTCACCCACCGATTCATATGGATCGTAAGGACTAGGGTGTGGGTTTCTGTAGAAGGCCGACAGGGGGAGTTTAGCTTCTCGAGCATTAGAAGGAAGTGTTATCACTAAGGAATTCATGTAGATCTGATAACGAAACGGCATTGTAGAAAGTGCATTGACTCCGTGGGCTACACTCTCTGCATTTCATCACTACGCATCTGTCCAGTGTCTCATCCATTCACAGCCTCCTTGGTTGGGGGGAGGGACAGGCTGAAGGGGATGGCTGCCCAAGGCCACTGATTAGGAACAGACGTAGGAACAATGTAGGCAGAGCCTTTCGACTGGCAGTAGCAGAAACAGGACCCCATCGTGGGCAGCTGGTGAAACCACTGAGGCCCATGCATGATGGATGGGTTGAGGCTGTGGTGACATCTCTTCAGGCCTCCCTAACTGGTTACTCTTTTTTGAGTTCTGAAGTTAATTGTAAAAATAACAGCTGGCATCGAGGACATTCTCTGCTAAAATGTTTTCAATGGGGAGGTTGGTATTAAACACAGACCTTTCGCACCTCTAATCGCAGAAGAGGCGGAAGTCAGACTAGAAAGAGTCAAGTTTGGGAACTGGAGGCCTTTGGAAACACGAGACCAACTTAGTAAAATTTAAAACCTTCCGACATCACCAGGGCAGACAACGCAAAGGGCTCCCCGTGTGTGGAGGCGAGGCTGCAGGGATGCAGGCCGGGCGCCCTGACCTGCTTTTATTCTCTCCCCAGGCGCTGAGCCAGCTGGCTTTCCGCTGTCCTTCCTGGCGACCGGCAGATGTTTGAAGGGGACAGTTTGCCTCTGAGTCACTGACCGTCTCCCTGCTGCTATTTAAACCCCTCAGATTGGAGATAGGCCTGCTCCGCCGGAGTTATCTGGGTGCTGGGCCCGTGCCTCGCGTAGAGCCTGCTGGCAAGACCTCAGAGGAAGACACGCTCTTGCCTTGGACGGACGCCAGAGGCTGCGGCCGGTGAGAGCAGAGCGCCCGCCCGGTGGCCGGTGGCCGGTGGCCGGTGGCCGGGGCGAGCTCCGAGCGCTCTGTCCGGGAGTGCGGCAGGGAGAGAGGAGAAGCAGAACCACACGGGGAACAGGGCGGGAGCGCTTTCGGGAACCGGGGCTGCTGGACGCGGCCCCTCCGCGCTGCACGACGGGCGCTGGGCCATGGAGTGAAACGTCACCCCGTCCCAGAAGCGACAGCGAAATGGCCCAAGAAGTCAGTCTGGACTCCCTGCAGGAGCTGGAGCAGGAGGCGGTCCTCCGGGTGCTGCACCGGGACCGGGCGGTGCAGAGCATCGAGGAGGAGCGGGTCCGGTAGGTGCCCCTGGATGGGGGGGCCGTTGGGGTGGTGGCTTTTCCTGCTGGGAGCTGCCCCCGGGACATGGCATATGGCTCCTCGCTGCCTGCAGCCTCTGGTCTGACAAGCGCCCCTGGGCAGGGGGGCGGGCAGGGGGCAGGAGGCGGGATCACCTTTACTTAAGCTGCTTTTGTTACTCACTCAATGGTGCCTTTTTGGGGACACATTTGCCTACTTTGCAGGAATAACTCTAGGGAAGCTGACAGGCTTCCAGCACCCCTGGGGGCAAGCCCCCTGGTTAAAGGTTTTCCTAAATTATTTTCCGTGGCACCTGAAGGCACAGCAAATCTGCTGGAATCCATTCCTGCCTTTTTTTCTTTCTTTTCTTCTTCTTCTTCTTTTTTTTTCTCACTTTGGCTGTGAGGAAAGGAGGAGGATGTGGAACCCAAACCTGCTTGGCCTGTTCCCGCCCGTGGGCACGTCTTTCCTCCGTCTTTGTGCCGGGATCCGGTCCATCCTTGCTGTTTCAAGGGACCTGGCATATATGGCATACTGTTCTTAATATGTTTGCTCACCTTCTTGGCACTATGTGTTTTGGCTGGAGATCCAGATCTTTGTACAGCTGTTTGCCGTCAGCTAACATTTACTGAAGCAGAACTGGGTGTTTCAGAGCAGTGTCCATGTCAGCTGTCCAGCCCCCCCTTCGAGTGGGTCGGGAGGCCAACTGGACGCCGATGCTGTGTCTGTCCGCGTCTGTGGGGACGTGAGGTCCAGGAGAGCAGGGAAGGGCGGGGCTGTGGGCCGGGCTGGGCTCTCAGGGTTTGCCAAGGAGAACACCCGCCCAGAGCACACCTGCGGGCACCGCGTGCCTGAGGGAGGAGGGAGACTTCCCGGACACCTGGAAGGTGCTATGCGCTTTGCCTATCCCCACCTGCTCTCCCCAGACTCTCTAAACGGACTCACTTCCTTCCGCTAAGAAATGCAGCAGGCTGAGCATGGGGTGAAAGATCTCTCCGTGATTAGACCAGCGGTCGCCAGCCTTTCAGGGCTCACGGACCACTGGTTGGCGACCCCTGATGAGGAGTGTCGCTTTGGGTATCAGTGAAGAACGTGTACCTGGGGCCAGGTACCTGAGGCTGCCGATTCTGGGGAAAGCCTGAAAGTGGGGTGTAAGCGTGTGCTTGGAATTGGCTTCTCTCTTCTAAAAGCAGGTCACAGGGATATTTCAGAAAGAGTGTCCTGGGGTCCAGCGAGATAGCCCTTTGCCCTGGGCCTGCTGCCTAGGGGCTTGGCCACCGGGAATGGGCAGTGTCCGAGCAGAGCATCCGTTAAGCCATCTCAGCGGACGGATGGCAGTCGCAGGCGTGCCTGTTGCGTTACAGAGCTTCCGTGCCTTGCACATAGATTGTCATCCTCTGCGTGTTGTTTTTCCTCTCCTCTCTGTTCCTGCCTATCATTTTAATGCCCTTTGGGCATGAAAGGATAAACCCAGAGCAATGAGCAGCTCGCTCCTCTGTGCCAGGCCTCTCCCTGATGCTTTGCCCTTCACCCTCCCAGCAGCCCTGGGGTAAGGTTTCCCCTTCCCTGTTTCACAGCTGAGAACCCCCTGAGCCTCGGAATGGGCCATGGAGGGGCCCAGGGCGTGGGTGGCAAGCCCCTTGTCCCTTGCCGCGGGGGTGCTGTCGGGGCCCTGCCCGCGGGGAGGGTGTCTGGCCTCTGCCGTCCGCTCTGTGGGATCTGATGGAACTCTCTGGGCCACAGGAAGCTGAAGGCGCACCTGCAGCATCTCCGGTGGAAAGGCGGGAAGAGCCCAGGCCAGGGGCACCAGGAGAAGGCGTGTGCCCACTGCCGGCGGGCGCTGGGGCTGCTGCTGGACCGGGGCGCCGTGTGCCAGGGCTGCAGCCACTGCGTGTGCTCCAGGTGCCGCGTGTTCCTGAGCAGGACCCGCCTCTGGAGGTGCACCGTGTGCTACGAGGGCAGGTGAGGATGAGGGAGTCCTGGGCGGTGGCCCGAGACAAGCCTCAAGTGCAGTGGGCAAATGTTTGCAGAGCGAACTTCTGAGACTTGGAGGTCACCGTAACTCAAAATCCATTGGATTTCCCTGGCGGGTGGCTTGGTTCATTGGAGTGTTGTCCCGTGCACTGAAGGGCTGTGGGTTCGAATCCCTGTCAGGGCACATACCGAGGATGCAAACTTGATCCCCAGTTGGGGCTCGTAAGGAGGCAACCCATCCATGTTTCTCTCCCTCTTCTCTCTCTCTCATCACTAAAAATGTATCTTCTGGTGAGGATTAAAAAAAAAAAAGAAACGGGCATGCTTTCCATTCGTGATAGACTGAATCTAATGTATTTTAATCTTTTGGTGGTGTGAGGTTTTAAGCATTTTTTTTATCATGGAATTGGTATTTTTGAACTGTCCATTTTGAAAATGGTAAACATGTTGGGCTTGGGCTCCCACTGTTCCTAGCAAGAATGGGTTGTTTGTGGGTCTTTGCACCCCCACGGGAGTGTTTCTGGAGGCTGGGGGACAGCGTGTACCAGGCCACCACAGGCCTTGTGGGGAGGCCTTGTGGGGAGGGAGTGGTCTGCCCTGAGCCCGGGGTGGAGCCAGCGGCCCGGAGACGGACCAGTTCTCGCTCCGCAGTCGCCAGCTGCGGGTCGCTCAGTGTGAATGCAGCGGCCGGATTCCCGCTCCCCTAACTCAGGAGGGCTGCTTTTTGGGCGCCCTGGCACGAATCTCCCTAAATTTCCAGTCCCTTCGCAAGGCCTGATGCATTTCAGTCGCTCACCCAGAGAAAAGTGCAGCCATCCCACCCGATGTCTGTGGTCCTGAGCGGCCTACCTTCCGTCTCTAGCACCGACTCCTACCAGACCCACCTCCTCGCATCTCAGGTCTCCCGGGTTCGTGGGAGCCAAGCCCTCGGGCTTTCCTCGCTTGAGAGGAAGAAGCAGAATCACTGCGGCCGCCGGCCACACCTGTGCTCGCTCGTGCAGGCCTGGGCCCTCAGGAGGGTAGGTGGCAATTCATTCCAAAAATGCCTCGAGAGATCAAACGCTCTTCCTCCGTTTTAATCAGCCACAGACATTGAGGTCTAACGATAAACACGGCGTGGTAAGGCATTGCGTTCTTCAGCAATTTTCTCCTAAAAGTGAACTAGAAGCAAAAAGTCAAAACGGGGGGACGGGGCTGAGCGGCCGCCCAGACGCTGGCCGTGTTGAAATCTCGGCCCCAGCGTCGGGCCCTGGTGTTGAAACTCTGCCCTCTAAGGATGCTAAGTGTGATTTCTGTAACCCCAGCTTCCTTCTTTTGAAATAAAGATGTTTTCCAAAACACCTAAGATAATTGCATTGCCCTGTGTGAACCGACACAGGTCCCGTACGGGAGAGCTAACTCATTTCTAACATCTGTCCCCCCCGCCCCTTTCTCTTTGCTTCTTCAAAACCCTCTGCTCTTGCTCTGGTTGGTCCACTCTGGGCTGCTGTCCTCTCTCTCTCTCTCTCTCTCTTTTTTTAATCCTCACCTGAGGCTATGCTTTTCAATAAGAGAGAGAGGAAGGGAGAGGAAGAGAAAAAGAGAAGCATCGATGTGAGAGAGAAACATCGATCAGTTGCCACAACCCGCAACCCGGGTACGAGCCCTGACTGGGAATCAAACCCTCAGCCCTTTGGTGCACGGGATGGCCCTCTAACCACTAGACAACACCGGCCAGGGCATGGCCCCGCAAAGAGAAGGCCTGGTAGCCCTTTAGAACATTTGACATTCGTAACTGAATGGGGGCCTGGAGGCGGGTTTGAGCCCCGTCTGTCTCCGTGTCTGCTTCTTCCTCGGCCTGAGTCCTGCTCCCCGAGAACCAGGGGGTCTGTGGGCACCGCACGAGGGGCATCGCGTTTTAAAACCAAGGAAGGAGAAGCTCTGGGACCTCAATTACAAAGAAGCAGCAGCAAACCCAGCTCGCAGGTGCTGCAGCCAGTGCAGGCGAGGGCCGGCCTGGCCAGGGGCGTCCGGGGGGCAGCGAGGACCCCGCCTTCAGGGCAGGTGTCCTCAGGGGACCGCAGAGCAGCCCTGGCTGCAGCGCTGCCGGGAGAGGCCAGGATGAGAGGGACGGACACAGTCGGGAGAGGAGACACACGGGAGTGACAAGGACCGCCCACCACTGCGAGGGCGGGCGAAGCGCTCCTTGTCCTTGGCGCTGACTGTCGGTCTTAAACCTGGAGGCGGCCTCCTGGGGCAGCCACTGCTGTGATCCTGTGTTCCAGGTGAGGACACAGGGGCTTGGAGACACCAGATAGTTGGCCCATGGCCATGAGGTCAGAAAGACTGGGACCCGGTCTCCCCGTCCCATCTCCTCTTGCCTCCGCCCTCTCCTGTCTGCTGGGAGCTCCCCCGTGAGGACAGAGTCTTCAGAGCCGCCCAGAGAGCTGGGCTCGGGGACATATGGGCTTTGCCGGAGGAAAACCAGGAGAAGGGGGCTGTGGGGCCAGGCGGACTCGGGAGGGGAGATAAGGTAACAGGCCACGTGGAAGTCCTGGTAGTGAAACCAGACTCGAGGCGATGAGGCTGGTGGCGGTGGAGATGACAGATAGCCCGGCCGGTGTGGCTCAGTGGTTGAGCATCGACCTATGAACCAGGAGGTGATGGTTCGAGTCCCAGTCAGGGCACAGGCGGGCTCCATCCTCAGTAGGGGGCGCGCAGGAGGCAGCCACTCGATGATCCTCTCTTATCATTGCTGTTTCTGTCTCTCCCTCTCCTCCTCTCTAACATCAATAAAAACATTAAAAAGAGAGAGCCCCTGACTAGTTTGGCTCAGTGGATAGAGTGTCGGCCTGCGGACTCAAGGGTCCCGGGTTCGATTCCAGTCAAGGGCATGTACCTTGGTGGCGGGCACATCCCCAGTGGGGAGTGTGCAGGAGGCAGCCTATCGATGTTTCTCTCTCATCGATGTTTCTAACTCTCTATCTCTCTCCCTTCCTCTCTGTAAAAAATCCATAAAATATATTTAAAAAAAAATAAGAGAGAGAGAGAATGTGACAGACAGTTCAACAAAGGGGTGGTGGAAATGAGTTATGGGGGATAAAAGCGGGAACCACACCGCCATGGCCAGCAGGCTGCGACAGCCCGAGACCTTGTTTCGCTGGCCTTGAATGCCCAATACTTATCATCTCCATGTGGAAACGGTGCGTGGGCTCTCCGATTGGCCACAGCGCCCACCCCTCCCTGCAGCCTCACACCCAGCCCGCTCTCCTCACTTCCAGCTGCTGCCGGGGGCCGAGTGTGTGAGCGGCCGGCACGTCCGAGGGCACGATGCACGGGAGACCTCAGGCCGCTGTCTCAGGCTCCCCCGGTGCAGGTCCCACCCGATCCCTCCGGTTCCCGGGAGCCCCTGCCCACGTGGGATGTCATTCACTCCCCAACCCACACGCACTTCCTGGCCCCGCCGCGGGCCTCCATCATGCTTGGGGCTGTGACTATCGCCTCTCCGAGGCCAAGTGGGGGAGAGTTATCAATGCTTCGCACGAAGTGGTGGTGGCAGCCTGATGCAGTCGTTTCTTTATCTTCATCTCGACTCCGCTCCCGGTTACCTAGGATTTAATCGCCGCGATCAGTCTGTTTTCCTGTGAGAACGTTGAAATCAGATCGACTGGGCTGGTGCAGAAACCTCACTTGTGCTTTGTTAGTAAAAGCCATCTTAGACGCAAGAAGTGAAACGATTTTCGCGGAAAGCACGCGGGACCACGTTAGCTGGGACTCGCCCAGCAGCTGGACAGGCTGGTGAAGCAGTTGGTTGAGCTCAGGTTCACAGGGAACTCCTTCCCTGGGAGTTTGGCAGCTTGTCGGTCTGAGGAGCCAGGGGCTGGAGGCTGCTTTGCCATCAGGGCGCTGGGGGGAGCGCAGGCCACGCGGGAATGTGCTGCTTTAGCCGCTTGAGGAACCTGACTGCACAGGGCAGCTCCCACCTCTGCCCGTTGAGTGGAGCCACCCAGGGTCATCACGCTGACGTTTCTGGAGCAGGAAGTAGGGACAGTGTCGCCTCCTTCCGCTGTGACTGACCGGCCCCCTGCCGGCTGGCAGTGACGAGGTCAGACCGCGCTGCCGGGGAGCGCCTGTGCTGGAATTAGCAGAGCGCTTTCCAGCAGCTGCTTCGCAGGGCTCATGCAGTGACAGCGACCGCAGAGCTCCGGGCCCCCCAGGAGTTGATGAGGGTCGTCTACGCACCGGCGCTCGTGGTCATAATCACAGTGACCTGAATGCAGTTAGTGGAAAGGCCAGACCCCGAAAGAACTCAGGTCTCCTGGCCCTCTGTCTTCCAGTCCCCCCACCCCCCACCCTGCCACCCTAGATCTTACTTAAACTTTGCATACTTATTGATTGATTTGAGAAATTTTAAGGAAGCAAGTCATGGTTCTGTTCAAGAAACATAAAGGCGTTAGCCCGTTGCTAAGCTCAGAAACTGTTCCGAGAAGCTTCGTAGACACATTCTGGTCCGCCATCTGGGATGAGTAGGGAGTCCTCCTTCGGTTCCTGCGACGCGGGCTTTCCCGTGGGGCCCTGACCAGGACAGAGACGCAGGGCTGCTCACCTCGGTCTCAGGCCGTGAGTAGCAGCATTTATAAGCCTTACCCTAAGGAACCCACTTGTGTTCATATATGGCTAAAAAGAACCGAATGAGAACTACCTTCAGTAAGTGCTTTACAGAAGGGAATTGGCCGCGAGTCGAAGCTTCCATGTTTCTTACGTAAGCAAGGAATTGGCGGGGTTTGTGGCACATTATTTTAAGGGTATGAGCAATTTACAACTTCTGTGCATTGCCTCTCTACATCCTCAGAGGATGTGAACAGTTCTACCCGTCTGGGGCTCTGAGAGGTCGAAGGTGGTTTCCCCAGAAATTTGGAAACTGTCAAGAGTAAAACACGCTTGGGGCGTGAGTTCCAGGCAGTGAGCACAGGAGCGGCTCCCCGTGCGCGTCTCCCTGTGGCCGAGACGGGGAGCTGCAGCCCAGGGAGCACTGCAGGCCAGCTGGCCAAGGAGCCACTGCCCGGGCTCAGGTGCTCCGCCGGCCCCCAGGCCCCCAGCCGCCATCGAAGCACAGTGACCCCACGTCCCAGACTGCGGGGCCTGCGGGGCCTTCTCTGTTGGCTCTTGGTAAATGTTGTGGTAACTCAGGTTCACCCTAAATGAGGTGAAGTGACCCCTGGATGATCTTCCTCCCAGCGAAGAGGCCGCATGGAATGCTTTTCCTAGCGTATCCTCATGCCGTTGCTTCCTGCCATAAACGCGATACATTCTCTCCTTTTCCCCTCCCCTCCCCTCCCCTCCCCTCCCCTCCCCTCCCCTCCCCTCCCCTCCCCTCCCCTCCCCGCCACTCCCCTCCCCTCCCCTCCTCCCCTCCCCTCCCCTCCCCTCCCCTCCCCTCCCCTCCCCTCCCCTCCCCTCCTCTCTTCTCCTCCTGCCCTTCTTCTCCTCTCCTTCCCTCCATCCCTCTCTCCCTTCCTTCCTTCCTCACCCAAGGATATTTTTCCCATTGCTTTTTAGAGAGAGTGGAACAGAGGGAAGGAGATGGAGGAGGAGAGAAATATCGATGTGAGAGAGACACATAGATTGGTTGCCTCTCACATGCACCCCAACGGGGGACCATGAATCAAACCTGCAACCCAGGCACGTGCCCTTGACCAGGAATCAAACCTGTGACCCTTCGGCGTGCACGCCAATGTTCTAACCACCAAACAATACTGGCCAAGGCTCCTTGATTTTTTAAAAATTATTTTGGAGCAACGTTGGTCAATATATTACTAGTATATAAATTTCAGGTGTACAGCTTTATAATACAACATCTGTATACTCGATCAACCAAATTGATTATTTTGATGACAATTTTGTTTCCCCTTGTACATTTATTCAGAAAACGCGAAGTACTTACCGTGTGTTGGGCCCATGAACAGGTTGAGGTATATGTGTTACATGTACATATTACACAGACGGTAAAACACGCCCACGCAGAGACCCCACCCTGCTGCCACTGGTCACATGCTGAGCTCTCTGGGAGAGCGGCAGGGTCAGGGGCTGGGCCGCACGTCTGAACCCCGAGGTCCTTGGCCAGACTGATACTGTGTGACACCCCCACCTCCCTGTGAGGGGCCACTTCCCAGCCGACGCTCCTTCTGCTTGCTTTTCAGAAACGTGAGGATAAAATCCGGAGAATGGTTCTTTGAGGAACGGGCCAAGAAATTTCCAACTGAAGGTAAATGCGCTCAAAATCTTTACTAAATTAAAAATGATAAATTCCTTGTTTTAAAATATGGGGTTTAAAGCTTTTGAATGGAAACAACTCCACAGGGCGAGGTGACAGCATCACCCCCGTCCTCCTGGTGCTCCTGTTGGCGGTTTCCTGCCTCTGCCCTGCCCCCCCCCCCCATGTGCCCACCTTGGGTCGCGGTGTTTGCCTCACTACCCTGTGTCCCCGAAGTCTCCCCGACGCCCAGCTCCTGGGAGCCAGGTCTCCCTCCTCCGCACGTGTCCCCCAGAATCGCTGGGAGAGCCTTTGATCGGGTCCATATGTGCGCACTTTTCTCGCTCTCCACACGCAGAACCTGTCCCGTTAGCCCCTCGCAGCCCGAGCACAAGACCTCGTTCAGGATACAAAACCTTGACCGACACGATTGCGTGAATCACTGAAGAGCACGGCATGGGTGGGGCTAGAACTGAGCAGACGCTGATGTGATGAAGTCACCTGTCACGACCATGGGGGTGGAGGGAGGGAGTAGTTGGTCTGTGTCTTGTAGACCAGGCATGTCTTATAAAACAGTCGCAAAGTCGACGTGACGGTGTGATCAGCAGCTGGGGCCCGAACCCGTGGTGAGAACTGGCAGTGCCGTGGTTACGGAGGCGCCATGCCGGAGGGTGGCAGCGGGGCAGAGAAGGGAGTACCTACGGGGGCCCGCGGGCCCCGGCATCGCCCCCCTGCGCCTTGCTGAGCGATGGCGCCCCCCCCCCCCCCAGGCGCTGTGTCACAGCGGAGCCTGCACTGGCCCAGTGGGAACGGGGTGCTGGAAACACTTTTTCTTTTTCCTGGAAAAGTGATGGTTTGAGGTGGAGAAATAAGCTACTTGTTTCCCTGCGTGACGTTCTCCCCTGGGCTCCACTCCCGACTCTTCTTATCAAGACCCAAGGGTGCTTCCGCCGAGCGTGTTAGGATCGGGCGGGGGGACACCTCCAACGGGAGCTCGAGGAGCCGACGCGGCCAGTGTGAGTCCCGCTAGCCCAGGGTTCTCAACCCTTTCCCGCTGCCTCCTCTCTCCTGGCCCCACGCCTTGTCAACACTTTCCTTTAACTGCTCCCAGGCCCGGGGCCTGTGGCCCCAGATGTCCTGCCGGCCTGTTTACGGGCGGAGGCCGGGGGGCGAGGCACACACCATGTGACGGCTGCGGTGTCCCTCCTCGAGTTCTGGCCTTGAACGCGGGCGCTCGCCCCACCCGGAGCGCCACCGCAGAGCAGGGGCAGCTGGACAGCCGTGCATCTGCCCGGCAGCTCGTGCTGTGGTTGTAGAGGTGTGAACGCGGCCCTGCTCAGCCCCCGCGCCCTCGGCAGAGGCAGAAAGCGAGGTGCCGGTTTACACCACGAAGGGCGTCAGACCCGGGCTCCCTTCTGTGCGCCCCTTGCCTTTGGCCGGGAGCACGCGGCGGCTTCAGCAGCTTTATTCTTTCTCACGCCTGGCTCCAGCGGAAGGCTCGCCTGGGCTGCAGGGCAGCTTTCTCGGGGCTCAGGCACGCACCTGCCGGCCAGTGCTGCTGGCAGGCGCCGGGCTCCTCCCGCCGGGACCCCTCCACAGGGTTGCCGACCCCCCACGGCCAGGCGCCGGCTTCCAGCTGGTGATCCTAGAGCAGCCGTGGGCTGTCAGCCATGGGCAAACTACGGCCCGCGGGCCGGATCCGGCCCGTTTGAAAGGAATAAAACTAAACAAAAAAAAAAAGACCATACCCTTTTATGTAATGATGTTTACTTTGAACTTATATTAGTTCACACAAACACTCCATCCATGCTTTTGTTCCGGCCCTCCGGTCCAGTTTAAGAACCCATTGTGGCCCTCGAGTCAAAAAGTTTGCCCACCCCTGGCCTAGAGAGACGAAGACAGAGCACCGCGGCACCTTAACAATGGTTTTTAATGTGGTGGAACACATGCAACATTCAACGTAGCATTTTAACCATGGTTAGGTGTACGGTTCAGTGACATTAAGTGCAGTCACACTGCTGTGCAACCATCACCGCCATCCGTCTCCAGAACTTTCCATCCTCCCACACCGACACTCTCGTGCCCATTAAGCAGTAACTCCTGTCCCCCAGCCCCTCCCCAAACCCCTGGAACCTCTCTCCTACTGTGTCTGTCTCTGTCGACATGGCTTGGCCTCAGAGCTCACCCCGTTATTGCTGCCCCATCCCAAGGTTGCACAGGCCAGCTCTCTGCAGGGCGGGAGGCAAGAATCACCACGTGAGACTATCTGCAGGTCTCCATCTTGCTTTATAATTTAATTTAGCGTAAGCATGTCCCTGTGCTACCAAGACTTCTCCCAACGTATGTTGACGGCCGGGATGCGCTCCCACGTGTTCAGCCGGCCCCTCTGGTCAGCGAGCGGCCGTACTTGGACTTTCACGTCACAGATGACTCTGTGGTGGACGTCGGCGTCTCTGTCTGTGTCCGTCGGTGGCGTCTCAGAAGAATGACTGGGTGAAAGGCTTTGATGTTTTCCAAGTTCCTCTCTGGGCAGCGTGTGCCCGGGCACCCCCTGGCAGGGCGCGTGAGCCGCCCCCTTAAGTCCTGTCCCTTGAGACACGATTTCAAATTACATTTGTGATTTTGTTCTGAATGTAAAGGTAATATGGATTCATTTTAAAAATGGAAAAATGGAGAAAAGCGTAAACAGTAACATTGAAAATACAGTGACTTCACCCGGAGAATTATTGTTGACATTTTGGTAGATATCATTTCTGTTCTTTGGTGAATATACGCATCTACATTGGTGAGTATGTATGTACATTTTTAGGTAAAAATGATGAATAGAGGAAATTTTATATGAGCCAAACTAATATATCTTTGGGATCAAATTATCCATACAGACGTATTCTGATATCTCTCCACATAATATCATCATCACTGTTGTTGGATAGCTAGGGAATTTCCAGTTCTGCTGTCACATTTTTGGGAGTTTGTCATATTATTAAAGTCATAGTAAAGTGCAGTGAACACCCCTGGAGAGCGGTCTTTGGCACATCTCTGGAGAGTTCTAGAAACAGAAGGAAAGAAAGTGTTAGGAACACCACCTCAGAACACGTGCACCTCTGTCACCAGCAGGAATTACCCTTAAAAGCAAACAACTCTGTCAACACAGTGAAACCACTCCGGTGGCCCCCATGCTCCCCTGTTATTTCAGTTGGAATCACCTAATTATTGGATGGGCCATTTCCGCTGCTTTGACTCTCGGTAGATGTTGAGGCTCTCAGACCTTTTCAGCCGTGTATGCTGTACTGCGCACCTTTGTTGACATGCAGAAGTTTTTCTTGTTTGTGTTCCATTCCACCTGTTCCTGTAGAAGTTCTTTCTTTGCTTTTATGCGTAGAGACTTCTTCCTGGTCCTGTCATCGATACGGTAGCCACGCTTCTCTCCTAATTGTTATGAGCTCGTTTACATTTAAGTCTTCACCAGGCATCAGGGGCCTGATCTAATTTTTTCTGCCCATCACCAGTGTTCCCAGTAGTGTTTCCCAGTAGCCCCTTTCCCGCTGGTTTACAACCCAGGGCGAGTCATCGGCACAGCTGAGCCCTGAGTTCCCGGGGTCTCGGTCCCATGGACACCACACTAATGCTGCCCTCGCCGCCTGCAACTCTTGGTCCTCTGTCCTAACCAGGTTTTCAGTTCTTGGCGGGCAGGAGCTGTGAGCAAATGTACATGAATGGAAAAGTAAGGATAGGTTGTTTGGAGGTAAAATGTGTTGCTCTGTGTGGTAGCTTCCATTGTCAGAATTAGCACCTAGTAGGCACCTAAAACTGAAAAGTCGGATTTCTTTTCTTTTTTGGCACCCAGAAACCTAGAGCCAAATTTAAAGTCCAGTTGGACTAATTCCATCATCATGCCGTACGCTTTTACTTACCTCTATTTTAATGATCTAATTGGATATGTGCCATTTACAATAATTGCTCCAAAAATGTCCTTGAAAGTAGGGAAGGTATAAGCAATAATCCAAAGAAGAAGAATGAGGTGAACTGTGGCAGCTTGTTATGCTAATTCTCCAACCATTAAAAAGATTCGGAAACAGGAAAACTGAGCCCCAATTCCTTATTTTGCAGGGAGATGGTACATCGAGCATTTAAACATTCTCCTTTCCTTCATTTCTTTTCTGATTGTAGACTGTTTTTCCCCTCTAAGGTTTTATAAGTCAACATTTAGTGTTGTCTTTAAACAGTTCCTTACATGCCGTCATCGTCGTGGTTTCTCTGTGGTGCGTGAAAAGGTGGGAACGTAGGTGCTGGCCTGCACCCTGCTATTGTGCCCTCTGCCCCTCCACCCCTCCGCCGCCAGGCACCTGGCAATCTGCACAGAAGGTGTTTCCTGGGGCTTCTGAGACCCTGGCTCCGGGATCAGCTCTGAACTATTTTCACCTCAAAGTTCCTGACTCGGTGGGACCAGGTGGGGCCCAAGAGTGTGTATTTCCCAAGTTCCCAAGTAATTGTTTTCACGCACTTCAAGTTTGAGAGCCACCGGGAAAGTAGCAAAGCTAATGCGCAGGTACGATGGTCATTTTCTAGATCACTGGTACCCAGAAACCTGCAACAAGACATTTATTCTAATCCCCTTGGTACTTGCTAAGCATATAGAGATAGTGCCCTCTTCTGGCTCCGTGCTGTAAATGCGTATATTTTACAGCCATGACGTTTTTATTGCTTAATATTTGAGCTTTAAAGCAGAAAAATGGCAATATTGCCCCACTGGCGTGGCTCAGTGGTTGAGCATCGACCTATGAACCAGGAGGTCGCGGTGCGATTCCCGGTCAGGGCACATGCCCGGGTTGCAGGTGTCAGCAGGCACAGATGAGAGAGACTTTCTGCCAACAGGACTGTCCACCTCTCACTGACGCTCGCGCTGTGGGAAGGCATCGGCTGTGAGTCATGGCTGTGCGCTCTCCTTTAACAAAAAGAGAACATTTAGTGCTTTTTAAGGAAATGGTGTGTAAGAAACATCTGAGGAATAGATGAGAAAGAAACTGAAAATAAATGGCAAATCAGACAGAGCTCCTGGGCAGGCTTCTGAAATTCAGCACCAGGTTCCGATTCTGCAGGGCGGGGCCTGGGGCTCTGCATTGCCGGGGAGCGCCCCCAGGAGCTGGGGAGACCCATGGCCCACACCTGGGGAAGCAGGGACACGGCACACTAGGACCCGTCAGCCCAAACGGGCCCTCTGCCTGCTGTGTGTCCTGGGAGCTAAGCTAAAAATGAGTTTCACATTTTTAAATGGTCAAAAAGTCAAAAGAATATTCGTGACATAGGAAGTACGTGAAACTCAGTTTCAATGTCCAGTTTTGTCAGATCCCAGACACACCACTCTTTCATATTGTCTGACTGCTGTCACAGGGCAGTTAAGTACTTGGAACAGAGACCCTACATGGCAAGGAACCTAAAATGTTTACTAGTTGACCTTTACAGAAGGGTGCACCCACCCTAGCCGGGGTGCTAAGTGGTAGAGCGTCGGCCTGCAGACTGAAGGGTCCGGGGTTTAATACTGGTCAATGGCACATGCCCGGGTTGTGGGCTCAATCCCCAGTAGAGGGTGTGCAGGAGGCAGCCGATCAATGATTCTCTCTCATCATTGATGTTTCTATCTCTCTTTCCCTTTCCCTTCCTCTCTGAAAAATCAATAAAAGTATTTTTTATTAAAAAAAATAAAAATACATTTAAAAAAGAAAAAAGAAAGCTTGCACCCAACTCATACATAGGCCAAGGGTGCAATAGCCAGCAGGGGGCAGCAGAGAGCTGTTTCCAGGCCAGTGTTGACCTCAGGTTGGGTAATTAGAAATGTGGCAGAGGGAGAGGAAGCTATGATATGGGCCTGCGGTAGAAATGCCTGGGCAATTAACACGAGGTGAAGTGGGGGTAGGTAGGAGTGAGCAGGCAAGGCCCGGGGTAAGGAGGGCAGTCAGAAGCGATTCTGTTGCTGGAGCAGAAAGACAAGGCCTGCAGGGTGTCGGCAAGCAGGCCGAGAGGTGAGGCCAGGCGGGTGCGGAGGCCCAGGACTGCTGTGCAGGGCTTGGCCTTCAGGAGGAGGCAATAGGGAGCCACTGAGGGGCGTTAGGTGGTAGAGTGATAGCATCGCATCTGGGAGGACGGACTGTAACTCTGGTGGCTGTGCCCCTGGGATGCTGTTGCAACAAACAATCCAGGGTCCAGAGGATGAGGCAGAGCAGCCGCAGTGCAGGTGACACAGCCCGACCGCGGGAGGGCTCCGCGCTGTGCCTGGGATCCGGGGCGTTGCTGTTTCTCTCCCTCTTGCCCATTCGCTCTCTGCTGTCACAGCCGCTGTGACGCCTCCGGCCCTGGCCGGGACCTTTCCTCTTGGTGGCTCCTGCGGATGTGGCCTCGCCATTGCAGGCTGGCCTTGCTAGCTCGTTTCTGTCTCAGGGCGTGTGTCTTCATGGGGGAGGGCGCGCAGACTTCTGTTAGAATCTGGTGAGCACCATGAACCCCCGGGAAAAGTGCGCGGGCAGGGGGTCTGCATCTGAGATGCTGGCAGGGCCTGCACCTCCCTGAGGCCCGCCCAGTGGAGGACCCAGCCCAGGGCTGCACAGTTCAGGCTCGGCTGGGGGTCAGGGGGCAGCTGACTGAATGTCAGATGCTGTCTGCCCCCCTCCCAAAGGCCTCCCTGCCCACCCTGCTTCTCTCTCCACCTGCCCTTCCTGCTGTCTTACGGAGAGGATTTGAATACTTGCAGTTCTTTGGAACGCTCAGGACGGGAGCTGCACGGACTCCTGGACGGCAGGCGGTGGCTCTGCTGGTGTCAGGCTGCCTCCCGGCCTCCCCCCATTCACTGGGCCAGGAAACACTGTGTTCACAGAACTCTGACCACATGAAGCTCTATCTTGGGGTCTTAATACTTCATAAATCCCCTTTCCTTGAAACAAAAAGAGCTCTGTGTTCTTGTTTAGGAAATTATTAGCCTCTATAGCTAGAAATAAGGAGATTACATTTTTTAAAAGATTAATTTAAGCTTCGCAACAAGGAACATTTAAAGGGAATATAGTCATTCAATTATAAAATATTTCCAGAGAGCAAAATAGAAGCTTGGAAGCCTGAACTATTTTTCAAATTCTCCAGATTTAGAAAATCGAATCCAATATCAACTTTTAATAAAAGCAGCCATTCCCAGCAATTATTATGGTCTCTTTGTGTGTGTGTGTGAGTGTGTGTGTGTAACAATAGCTTTACTGGAATATATGTTAGATAGCATAAATTTCACCTCTTTTAAGTGCATAATCTAATGATTTTAAAGTAAATTTATAGTTATGCAGCTATCACCACAATCTAATTTTAGAACATTGCTATCCCTCCAAATCTTACATTTTCATTGTAAGACGTGACATTAGAAAAATGGTCACTTTATTACTTCTTGCATTTGCATCATCTGAGTTATAACCTTACTAACACCGACCTTTGCTGGTATCTCTCCAGGCAGGCGCGAGACCGCCGGGGCTAAGCTCCTGCAATCTTATCAGAGACTGAGGTGAGTGTCGGAGACAGACAGGCCGCCCTGGAACACAGACCCGCTAGGAGCTGAGGTCTCTGCACTTTCAGAGGTCACTGCTTTGGAATGTAACTTTTTTTTTTTTTAAATGATAAAGTACCTGGAAAAGATTCAGAGATACTGCCAGATTCTTATGAAAAGCCTTCTAGACACTAGCATGGTGTTTTCTCACCAAATGTTCTGTTTTGTTTCTTAAATTCTCCTGAAATGTCCTAAGGAAACAAAGTATTATTTTTGATGGCACGGTCAATGAAAGTCTAAACCGAGTCTTTGTTCGGAATCATTCATGCCGCCAATATCTTCGAATAAACATTGGTGGACATGAATAATGGCCTGAGTGAGGTGAACTTCTTTTTACAGAAAATATATTTTATTGATTTCAGAGAGGAAGGGAGAGGAAGAGATAGAAACATCAATGTTGAAAGAGAATCATTGATCATCTGCCTCTTGCACGCCCCCTACTGGGGATCAAAGCCTGCAACCCGGGCATGTGCCCTGACCAGGAGTCAAACTGTGACCTCCTGGTTCGTAGGTCCATACTCAACCATTGAGCCATACCAGCCAGGCAGATGTTAACTTCTTTACACAAAATTCTGAACAGCGGCAGTCTGGATGCCGGCAGGCGCACGCCTGGTTCCCCGGCACCCACCGAAGTGTCGCTGGAAGCTCCCACCAGCAGCTGTGTTTTGGCCACGATGAGATTTTCCAATCTCAGGACTTTTTTGCTTGTCACTCCCCCATTTCCCCCCCAACCCCAATGCTTGTCGCACAAGTTTCTGATTTTTCTCGTGGTGGATTTTTACATCCATGACATTTCTGGTGCTTCTACCCGTGTGGTTTCCAGAGGGACCATGCCATAGGGAACACGCATGTGGCTTCTGGATTCAGAGCCACCAGGCCGCCCGCCGGCCCTGAGCTCCCAGCTGCTGCAGGTCGCGCAGGTGACGAGCACGCAGACGCTGGTCTGCGCCTGCTGTTCCCACGTTCAGACCCCAGACTTCATGCCCTGCGCCCAGCAGCACATCCAAGTGGGGGTCGGCTAAACTCGAGGAAGTTAAAAACACACACAAAAGCCCCAAAGATAGAGAACGCCAGTTATAGGAGGAGGAGGAATCTTGTGTTTGTAAGACTAGTTCTTGCATCATTTATAACCCATTTCTTATCCCTGTATTTTTCCTCAGCAGCAAAATTTCCGTGGTTCCTCCCACCCCACCTCCGCTCAGTGAGAGCTGGTGCAGTGGCAGCCCTGGCAGGGTAATGGGTCTGCTCTGTGGGCTCCCCGGGGAGGAGGGCGGGGGACACAGAGGGAGAGAGGGGGCTGGGAGGATGGGTGGAGAACCCCAGGGCAGAGGGAGGCAGCTGTGGCTGGAATGGTCATGAATGAGGCCGATAATGGAGGGTTGATTGGGGGTCGGGAAGTGCTTGGCTCTGCCCAGTGTCATGCCACCACCAGGCTTTGGGGACCCCGGACCATCTGCATTAACAACCGACTCATCTGCTTCTACCCCACATCCTCACCTTCACCTCACACCCTCTCCTATACCCCATGTCCTCACCTGCACCCCACACCCTCACCCACCCCACGTCCTCACCTGCAACCCTGTCCCCATCTCTTTCCTTTTGTCTTTTCGTGGCCTCTCTCCCCTCACTGTGCTCGGTCCCATGGGTGTGGGGTCTGCGGAGGCTCAGTGTGTCTGAGGGTCTCCGGGGTCGAAGGGGAAATGCAGGTTGATTCACAGGAATGAGAGAGTGGGTGCCTCTAGAAATGTGTGTGTGTGTCTTCTGATTGTTGGCAGGTGCTAACGTAGACCAGGGCCCTTTCTGTCCAAAGAAATGAACCCTGTGATTTTGAGGGAGTTCCCTGGGTTCCCCCCTGAAAGGTGGAAGTAATGATACTCATCTGACTTGCCTCCATGACCGGTGTGAGAAATTAATGAAATCATGCCTATGCCGTACTTGGAAACTAACGTGCCATGGAGATGTATGGTCTTGATTATTTTCATTATTATTATCCTGTGAATGCAAGGGAGTAACTATATCTACATATAGAAGGATACACACTCTGGGGAGAGAAAATATGCACATTCTTTCATTTCAAACCGAGATGCTGGAATGACCTTCAAAATCCTGCTCTACTTTCTCCTTGCGATTTTAAATTCTCCAAAGATCTTTGAACAGCACTGCGCTCAGGACATATTTCCTGGATGGATGGGTGGATGGATGGATGGATGGATGGATGCATGGATGGATGCATGGGTGTATGGACGGATGGATGGATGCATGGATGGATGAGGGACAGATGTGTGCATGGGTGGATGGATGAATGGGTGTATGGACAGATGGGTGGATGGATGGATGGATGGATGGATGGTTAGATGGATGCATGGATGCATAGATGGATGGATATATGCATGGATGGATGGATGTATAGATGGACGGATGTATGTATGTATGCATGGATAGATGGATGGATGGATGGATGGATGGATGGATGGATGGATGGATGGACAGATGGATGCATGGACGGATAGATGGATAGACAGATGGATGCATGGATAGATAGATGGGTAGACAGATGGATGCATGGACGGACAGATGGATAGACAGATGGATGCATGGACAGATAGATGGATAGACAGATGGATGCATGGACGGATAGATGGGTAGACAGATGGATGCATGGACGGATAGATGAATGAAACTTGCAGAGGGAAGTGATCTCTTTTCTGTTGTTTTCTCTTCCTTTTTCTTTTTCTCTCTTTAGTTTTTGGAGGCAGAATTAACCCTTGGCTTCAGGCTGGTCACCTTGTGCCTGCTCCACTGTCAGCCCCTATGACACATGCGTTCTGCCCGGGTTGGCATCCCCTCTGCGCGGAGTGGGGATGAGATTAAAGGAGCAGGTTACTTGGGTACAATCTTTAAGCCAATGAAATGTCAGGCAGTATTTCGTAGAGGTCATTGTTGCCTTGTCAACAACCCCTTGATCATGCTCCTTCCTTTAATGTGGTGTCAAAACTCAGAGAGAAGCTGAGTAAAGAGGATACCTGTCCCTCAGGAGGACAGTGCCCTCTCCACTCCAGACATTTATGCACCCACTCCCACACCCGCACCCACCGAGCACCCACACCTGCATGCACCAGGCACCCACTCCCGCACCCACCGAGCACCCACACCCACTGAGCACCCACAGCACACACCTGCCGGCGTTTGGGGGTTGGCAGCCGGGAGGCTGCTGGGGCCGTACAGGTCTTCAAACATAACTCACTATCTCTCCTTCTGTGTCTGTTTTAGTTACAGGAACTTGGTCAGTTTAAAGGATTTAATAAGTCCGTGGAAAATTTGTTTCTGTCTGTTACCACCCACATGAAAAGTAAGTGGATGCCTCTTTCCATGTTCTTCCCAGCATTACCCGCGCCCCCAAGGCCCAGGCTGAGGCTGGACAGGGCCCCTCTCCCTGCCTCTGGCTTCTGGGGAAAGCCAGGGCCCCTGGTCCTGCACCCTCCACCCCCAGAGCAGGCCTCTGGGTCCCTGGGGAAGAGGACCCTCTAGTTTGCCAGAGGCCCCCCTTCTCCCATCCCGGGCAGACCTGCCCAGCAGCGCCCGGGGCCAAGGAGCTAGCTGGTGGAATGGGGATGAGGTTAAAGGTGCAGGTTACTTGGGTCCAGCCTTTAAGCCAATGATAAGCTGGTACTCATCCTCGCTCCTGCCAAGGACCAACACGAAAACAGAGAGAGAGGGTCCAGTGCGCCCGGAACCAGAGCCCCTCAGGCGGGCGGGGCCCTGGCCTGCCTTTGCCTGCAGTGCTTGTCTGGCCTCCTGTTCTCCTGGGTAAATTCATGTTCTTCGATTAGCAGTCATCATGCTCCCTGCAAGGACCCCGCCTGCTGCGTGGAAGTTTTGTTCTTCCAATGTTTTTTCTGCCCAGACATTTCTTCCTGTTTATCTTAAAATTCATCCAAGAGCAGGCCGGGTCTCGGCCTCCCGAGGTGCCCGGGGCGGGCCAGGCGCCCGGGGGAGGCTCCTGGGGCTGGGGCCCCAGTCCATTCTCTCTCTGCTGCCTGGCCCGCCCCGCGCCCTCTCTCTGCAGCGCATGTGCTGGTCTCCGTGTGGTACCTGGCCCGAGACAAGCTTATCGTTTTAATTATTCCTCTGTATTTCCCATGAGCCCCGCTGAGCTGTAGCCCAAAGACAATCAAGCAAAAGCCGCTTTCAGATCCGCACAGAAGTGACTGTGTCATGTGACAGTCTGTGCCCCTCCGCTCAGAAGGGGGAGCAGCCGAATTTCATGGCCTTTTGCTAATAGAGCTTGGAGGTTTCAAAACACCCTGCCACTCAGCCAGGCTCTGGGGTGCCAGAGGGGCTCCCCTCCCAAAAATACTGACGCAGCGGACTTCTCTGCTTTCTTTCTTTTTTTTTTTTTAGTATATTTTTATTGATTTCAGAGAGGAAGGGAGAGGGAGAGAGAGATAGAAACATCAATGATGGAAGAGAATCATTGATCGGCTGCCTCCTGCACACCCCCTACTGGGGATTGAGCCCCAAACCTGGGCATGTGTCCTGACCAGGAATCAGACAGTGACCTCCTGGTTCACAGGTTGATACCCAACCACTGAGCCACACTGGCTGGGCTCTGCAGTCTTCTTAGATGCACAGCCTCTCCCCAAATCCTGTGGCTTATGTGACTCCACCCCCACTGCCACTCTGGACACCCCTCAGTGTTGATTCGGACTCTGCTGCCCCTCAGCCTGACCCCCGGAGAGACAGGATCACAAATCGTCTTGTCCAGCCACATGGCCCTCCACGCGGGGACCACATGCGGGCGCCATGGGCGGGCTCACGCCCCACAGCTGCCCGATCACGTGTCACATGTTTGAGACTTGCCAGTTTAGTGCCCATGTTGCCAGGTCATTGTTATAGGGCAGCAGACCCAGGTGGACGCTAGAGCAACCCCTGGGGGACTCAAGCAGCTCCGGTCTCTGCCCCGGGACATGGACTGAAACCCCCAACCCGCACCCCCTCCCCCTGTCCAGGTGCCGCTGCTCACAGGACCCCGAGCCCTCACCCTGAGGCAGGGACACAACACCCAAACACCCAGCTTCCTGAGCCCCTGGGGATGCCTGTCCGCCAAGCCCCTTCCCTGTCCTTCTGCTGGGCCCACAGGACGGCCCAGGGCACACACTCTCTGCACTGGCTCAGCGGGGCTGGGGGTCAGGGAGCACCTGGCGGCTTTGGTGTTTCTCCCGCTTTGGGCTATGCGGCCCGAACCTTTCTCAATCCTCGTGGCTGCCTGCTTCCTACAGAAGTGCCTAGGGAGGGCAGCCTGTTCTGGGGGCGCAGGGGCCTGGGAGCAGGGGTGGTGGGGTGGGGTGGTGGCCTGAAGTTGCAGTTCCAAAATGACAGCCTCTGGCGGCTGCTGCTGCCCAGTGACTCCCGCCCCACCAGCAGGAAGAAATGAGTCACTCCGCCTGCTCTATGGTCACTGCCCTTCTGGGGACCTCAGCCAGCTCCTCGGAGCCGGAGGGGGACAGGGACCTCAGCCAGCTCCTCGGAGCCGGAGGGGGACAGGGACCTCAGCCAGCTCCTCGGAGCTGGAGCGGGACAGGGACCTCAGCCAGCTCCTCGGAGGGGGAGGGGGTCGTAGGCTTCTCGCTCAGGACCACCTGGGCTCCTGTTCCTCTCCTTTGTACCCCATCAGAAGCCTGTGAGAACCTGACTTGCTTCAGAAGGGCCCCATCCCCCACACGGTCCCCCCTCCCCACCCCCCTCTCCTCCATCTGTGAACATCAATAGACCAGAGGAAGGAACGGGTTTTGGGGTGAGTGCTAAATGCACGGCTCGGGGACATCTCCTGGCCGCTCACACCCCGTGAATCCAGGCCGGGGTCTGGCCGCATGAGGCGTCCTGTGCCACTAACTTGGGGGGCCTGTGGGTGCCGGGACCTTTCCAGCTGCCGGTGTAGAAAGATGCCCGGAGTGCCCGGATGGCCGACTTGAGAGCCGTGTGGATGGCGTTGCTCTCAGAGTGAACAGGCTCCACACACCTGGTGGGAAGGTGGGCACCGGGCTGGGGGCAGGTGGGGTACCCGCTAACACAGCGATTGTGCCCCCCCCCCCCCCGTGTGCCCGCAACAAAGATTGCAACCTGACTCCAGTCAGGGGCACTGACCTCGTTCCCCTTAGATTGTCAAATCAAGAAAAATGACAACAGCCAACACAACTATAGCCATCCAGTGTGACTGGATCAAAATGATAGCTTTTTTGTCAGATCGGCCAAAAATGTATATTTTTTGGTGTACTGCAGAGTTTTAGTAATTGATTTATGTGTGTCATGAGACATCGCTGCTCTAGAGAAAAGAGACGGGCCTCGGGCAGTGCGTGCGGGACCCCAATAAATAGCCAGGAATAAGGACGCACAGGGCGTCCTCGGGAGGGGTCAGAAGACGAGAGGGGTCGTGGGCTGTGCTGTCCAGTGCGGTAGCCGCGGCCGCGGCCACAGGTGGCTCGCGAAATGTGGTGCCTGAATTAAGAGTAAAAACACACCGGATTCTGGAAACTAAGTATTCAAAACTTAGTTTATAATTTCATTAGTAAGTTTAATATCAATTATATATGTGAGCAATGTGTGGGTATATTATAGTATTAAATTATTTTCCTTTGTTTTTTAAAGATATATATTTATTGATTTCAGAGAGGAAGAGAGAGGGAGAGAGAGATAGAGACATCAATGATGAGAGAGAATCATTGATTGGCTGCCTCCTGCACGCCCCCCACTGGGGACCGAGCCCATACCCCCCAACCCCAGCATGTGCACCTGACTGGAATCGAACCTGGGCCCCTTCAGTCCATATCCACTGAGCCAGACTGGCTAGGGTACCTTTTCCTTTTTAAAATGTGGCCAACATGGACATTTGAGGTGACACGAGCCATAATGGGCCACTGCTCTAAAGACAGCCTCCAGGTCGTCCTTTGAGAGCGGCTGGGATCTGGGGAGGAGCAGGGGTTCGGGGGGAGGGGGCTCGTTTGCGGTGTCCTCTCCCGGCTGGGACTCATCCTTCTCCCACACAGACCACGGTTACCTTGCAAACCACCATGTAAAGCCGTCTTTTCCGGTTTTGCTTATTGAAATAGTGTCAAGGACGCCTCTCTTCAAAAAGGACTCACTTGTAGCTGGTTATAAAGTCTTGGGGAGGACCCCCTAAAACACTGCTGTCGGCTGGGCTGTCGTCTGTGCGTTTGGACAGTCCGACACCTGGCGTGTGGCCCGGAGGCAGACCTTCCTGTAACTCCCGCCCTGACGGCGGCCCTCGGCCCACAGAGGGGGGTCAGGCGGTCGCCCCTTAGGGCTCCCGTCCTCTGGCCCGAGCCAGCACGCAGTGTCTGGAGATCCCCGTTTGTCTGAGCTCCCCCTACCCCCAGGGCCCGGAGCTGGGTGCTGGGCACACGCCACCCCTGCCCCTCCATTAACCCGCTCTCCTGGCACCGAGGGCCCTCCCCTCCTGTGTGGTTGAGAGAGTCCCCTCGAGGGCCCCTCGGGTCTGCGTGCCTGCCGGCCACCTCCTGTCTCTTGTTCTCTAGAACTCTCCAAGTCCCAGAACGACATGACCTCGGACAAGCAGCTCCTCAGCACGGGCCCCAGGCCGGGCGCCAGCCGGACGGAGCGGCGGAGCCAGAGTGACACGGCCATCAACGCCACCACCAGGGTACGGCCCTCCTCCAGGGACCCCTTTTCCCTTCTGACAGAGCACGGAGCGGTCTGCAGACATAAGCACAGGCGCCTCTGGGTGGGGGCTGGGCCACAGGAAGGTCCAAATTCAGGTCAGAACAGGGAAGGGCTCAGCCTCGTTCCCAGCGCCTGGGGTTCCCGGAGGCCCTCCCGGCTGCCCAGCATCGCAGCTCCCAGAGGCGGAGCCAGGAGCACAGCAGCTGCGTAGGTTCTGAGTCCCAGCTCCTAACGCCTTCAGTGTGCGCCCTGTGAGGTCTGTGTTCTCACTGACCCATCATGGATGAGGACCCGGGCAGGGAGACGCCGGGGGTGTAGGGTGGTGGGAAGGGCAGGGCCGGGTAGAGCCGGCCGCAGGGGCCACGCCTGCACATCTGCCGGGAGGGGCACAGCACCTCGAGGGCCTGCATGCTTCCCAGTCCTGACGTCACTGCCGCGGGGTGGCATCCCCGGCATCCCCACGCGTAGCCTGGGCTTTTGGATGCTGATAGAACCCGCACTCTCGGCATCCTCCCCGCTTCCTGTGCCCGGAACAGCCTGTGGGCCATCAGGAGGCTGTCAGGTGGGAGGCGGGAGGAGGCAGAGGAGGGCATGGCTGCGAGCTCCCGCTGTGTGGACGCTGTCCTGCAAGTGAGTGTCCGCGCCGCTGCTGCACTCTGGACATGCTGACAGCTTCCTGCAGGCCTGCTCTGTCCCCACCTCCCTTGAGTGAGGGTCTGGCTGGTTTTCTGTTTGTTTATTTAATCTTCACCCAAGGGTACTTTTTCCATTGGTGTGCTGTTTTCTTGTTTGTTTGTTTGTTTTTAGAGAGGGAAGGGAGGAGAGGGGGAGAGAGAGAAACATCGATGTGAGAGACACATCGATTGGTTACCTCCCGGAAGCACCCCGACCAGGGACGCAACCGAGGTACATGCCCGTGACTGGGAATCAAACCCTCGACCCTGCACTCCATGTGCCGATGCTCTAACTATTGAACCAAACCGGCCAGGGTGAGGGCACGGGTGTTTTAGAGGACAACTTAGCCAGTGTTTATAAAGTACGTGCCAATCATGGCATGACCTATAAACGCTAAATAATTACCGGGTTAAACTATAAAGAGTACAACCTCACATAGGACACTTGTCAGACGGCAGTTACACACGCCCTGGCTGGGGAGCTCGCGGAAGTTATGCCCACATTTTGTCGCAACACAGCGCCGTGCCCCCTGGGTGAGGGCTGTCGGCGCCCACGGTGCAGGCGGCCACAGCGAGGCACAGACACCGTCGCCGCTTTTCTCAAGGCCACATGTGACTCCGGGAGGTTGGATGAGAAGACGGCCAGGAGGCCCGCCAGGTCACTTACTTGAGCTACATGTTCTGAGATGTCCCTGCAGGGCCCTCCTGTGAGCTGGGCCAGCTTCTCCAGGAAGTGAGCTCTCACCTCTCCTTTGAGGCTCCTGCGCAGCCCAGGGGACCTGACTGTCCGTCCTGTTAATGTGTGGGTGGCCTGTGTGGACCATAAAAGGAGACCCATTAACCAGGAAGGGACGAAACACTCTGTAAGGAGGGGCTACGCCTGAGGAGAGGGCCGAGGACAGCGGTGGGGAGACTTTAGTTCACTCTGAGCACCTGGTGCTGTGTGATGTTTCTCATGGACTCCTGAAACCTACAGACCACCCCCCCCCCCCGCCCCAGGGCCTGGCGCTTCCTGAACGTCCCCACCTGCTGGCGCCACCTGGAAGGCTGACCAGCCAGAGAAGGGAGGCGGCAGCGCTGGGCTTCAACCATTAAAGCTCTTGGGCCTCAGACTGAAGGACCAGTGACCTTTCTGATGGCCCCGGAGGGGGTGTCTGCTTTTCAGCTGGGACTTAGTGGGGCTCAGAGCATATATTACTGGGTATTTTCTGGCACCCGAGTGAGTGAGCCTGTTAAAAGGCCACCCTCAGCCCTGGCCGTGTGGCTCCGTGGGCTGGGTGTTCACCAGGAGGTTGCCGGTTCCATTTCCAGTCAAGGGCACGTGCCCTGGTTGTGAGCTTGAACCCCGGCAGGGGGTGTGCAGGAGGCAGCCAATGTATGTTTTGCTCTTATATCAATGTTTCTCTTTCTCTCTTCCCCTCCTTCCCTCTTCTCTCTAAAAAATAAAATATAATAAAATAAAATATTCTTTAAAAAAAGGGTGGGGGAGCAAAGCTAGATGCAGTCTCGGAGGCGGCAGAGGTTGCTCTCCCTTCTCTTATCTGAGATCAGGAAAATCCCGAACACACGCACTGCGTGGTTGCATCGCTCGGTCAGAGCAAGCCTGATGCTTATGGGCCTCTCGGCTTAGACGTTAGACTTGCCTCTGTGCAGTGTGGGCCTCACGCAGGGCAGCCGTTGTCTCTGTGATCTGCCCCAAACCAGGTGGCTATGGAAATACATTATAAAGTCACTGTGGGGGGCGGGGAGCCGGTCTCAGCACGCTGACCAGCTGCTCTCTGGGCCTTGGTGCCCTTTCAGAAGGTGCTGACCTGACAAACGCATCCGCGTCCTTCAGAACTTACTGGGGCGGAGGTGACACCACGTGCCAAGGTGGATTCCTCAGTCAATCAAAATAGGCAGGTCTTCAGAATAGGACCAACTTTCTAATAATTTCAAATATATACGTCTGCACGGATGCTTCATCACCAGCTTCCCAGGACCCGGACCTGGAAGCCAGCCTTCCACACCTGCTCAGGCACAGTCCCACTGACGCCCAGGCCCCCCAGCTGGCATCAGCCCTCCCTCTCCTCTGTCCGTGGACGTGGCTCCTGCCTCCATGTCAGCCGCGTGTCTACTTCCTGATGGCTAGGGAGACCTCTGAGGACAGCCTCTGCATCTCCTCCCCCTTCCCCTTCCCGCTCCTCCTCTCTCTGCCCCCAGGACGCAGGGTGGTGGGTCGGACGTGGTGTTGCTTAACACAGGTCTGATGCACTCGGGTTGATGTTCTGGGGGCTGAGGGCAAAAACCGTAATTTGGAGGTAATCTCTTTCTTCATTTGTTCTGTAAATTCTCACTTAGCTTTCCATTCCTGAAAATTATGACTGTGGTATTTTCAAGTTCTACTTCTAAAAAAAAGTCTCGATTCAGAAACCTTTGCATCTTCAGCTAGATGAGTTTCCCCATCTGCCCACTGTGTTCATTGTTCTGTCCTCGCACTGTCCAGTGGACCATCTCAGTCACGGCCTCAGTGGCTCCGAAGCACTTGGAATGTGTCCAGTACAGCCAAGGAGCTGAATTTAATGATTTTATTTGATACCAATGAGTTAGAACTTGGATTTGAATGGCCACGTGTGGCCAGTGGCTGCCATATTGGAGAGCTTAGCTGTATCCATTATAAAAGTGCCCACTTTTCATAGAGTAGTCGTGTAAGATTTAGAGATATATTTTGATTTTTCCCTGTTTTCTGAGTTAAAATTCTGCCTGTCCAGTGAATATTACATTTCATGTGATTAAATGCCAGGGTCATTATGAAGGCCATTTCTTTTCTTTTTTTTTTTTTTTAAATATATTTTGTTGATTTTTTACAGAGAGGAAGGGAGAGAGATAGAGGGTTAGAAACATCGATGAGAGAGAAACATCGATCAGCTGCCTCCTGCACATCTCCCACTGGGGAAATGCCTGCAACCCAGGTACATGCCCTTGACCGGAATCGAACCCGGGACCCTTCAGTCCGCAGGCCGACGCTCTATCCACTGAGCCAAACCGGTTTCGGCATGAAGGCCATTTCTTTAAGACTTTCACTAATCCCTAGTAACGCACCCATACTGGTCGTGACTACCCAAGGCTTGGTGATGTCCGCTCAGGGCTGTGTGTGTGTGTGTGTGTGTGTGTGTGTGTAGGCATTTGCCCAACCAGGAGTGCGCCTGCTGGGGTTTGCCCATTACTGCCACTGGTCATAGAGGCAGGCTGTACTCGCCGAAGTCGCCACATTTGAACGAAAGTGAGCTGGGATGCAGACGCCGTGCTTAATCCTGTGTTTCCTTTTCCAGAAGGTCAGCGCACCCGATATCCTGATGCCACTCAGCCAGGAGAGTCCCAAACGCGCTACCAACCCTGTTTCCAAGCAAGGAGGTCTCTCAGCACCCCCAGCGCCCAGCTCTTCATTCTCAGGAGGCTCGAGGCGGGTGAGTCTGTCTGATAGCGTGGGCACGGGGTGTGGCTGCCGACCGCACGCGGAACTGGCTTGGCCGGCCGGGGTGGGAGCGAGTGCTGTTTGTGGAATGAACTGGAGCAGAGATGGCGCCTGGAGGTCCTATTGACTTAGGGAGCTGGGGGAAGCCTCCCTCTCGCTGATGGCGTTTCTTTCTTACGTCGTCTCAGTGTGAACATGTTTATATAGACAGAGAGGAATTAGTAACATATAATGGTGTCTTCGGATGAGAAGTTTTCCATTTCGATGAAGTTTGATTTATCAAATTTTTCTTTTATCGCTGTTTCTCTGTCTTGGCTACTCACAGATTGTAGACATATTCTCCTACGTTTTCTTCTAGAAGCGTTACAGAAGCTTAGCTTTTATGGACAGGTCTTGATCCAACTCACTCGTTGTGAATGGTGTAAGGCAGTGGTCGGCAAACCACGGCTCGCAAGCCACATGCGGCTCTTTGGCCCCTTGAGTGTGGCTCTTCCACAAAATACCACGTGCGGGTGCACACGTACAGTGCAAAGTTGACGTAAAACTTTAAGTAAAGTTTATTAAGTTAATTTTAGGGAACGTTGTGGAGTGAAAGAAGATGTAGTATCAAGGATTGAGAAAGATATATTGAGGTGGTTTGGACATACAGAGAGGATGAATGAAAGGAGAGACGAAACAAGTGTACAAGACGAGTGAGGATGCGAGAGTTGGAAGGGGTCGACCTCAGTGAACGTACCTCAATCAGATTGAGGACATTTTTAGCAAAGGACAGCTTAGGAGGACCCTAATTAAGTTAATGACAATGTACCAATATATATATATATATATATATATATATATATATATATATATATATATATAGTTTAAGTTTAAAATATTTGGCTCTCAAAAGAAATTTCAATCGTTGTACTGTTGATATTTGGCTCTGTTGACTAATGAGTTTGCCGACCACTGGTGTAAGGTAAAGATTGAGGTTCACTTTTTTCCTTACAGATACTCAGTTATTCCAGCACAAAAAACCCACACCTCTCATTTCTCCGTTCACTTTGGTGGCTCCGTTGGAAAAAGTGTGGTTCTTTCTCTGGCTTCTCTCTCCAGTGGTGGCCAACCTTTCGGACCTCACGGACCACAGTGGTCCGCAGACCACCGGTTGGCGACCGCTGCTCTATTCCCGCTCACTGATCTCTGCCCATCCTCACGTCAGCGCCACGCTGCCCTGGTTACTGAACATTTGTTGTAAACCTTGAAGTCAGTTTATTCCTCCAACTTTCTCTCTTTTCTCAAGGTTGCTTTAAACATAGTGACTGTTTATAGGCAGGCCTTTTATTTACTCATTTTCTTACTTAAAAGCATTAAAGAAATGCTCACTTTATGCCTAAAATTGTGGTATATTGTAATAGATCCTTGGATGAGGCGTCCTGAGGCCTCAAGTACAGTCAAAGTCTTTTAATTAACTAACTGATCTGAAATCATCATGAAATCATCATGAAAACTTTTAAACTTCAGAGTCCTCATCAAGGAAATGAGTATCAAAGTTGTTCTTTTTTAAAAAAATATGTTTTTATTGATTTTTTAGAGAGAGGGGAAGGGAGAGGGATAGAGAGAGAGAGAAACATCGATGAGAGAAATACCATCTATCAGCTACCTCCTGCGAGGCCCCTACTGGGGATCAAGCCTGTGCCTGACCCGGAATCAAACTGGTGGCCTCTTGGTTCCAGGGTGGATGCTCAGCTGCTGAGCTCCCCGGGCCAGCCGGGCCCAGCGTTGCTCTTTTTACTTCACTGGATTGCTTGGAGAATGAAATGAAAGCAGGGATTTCGTGCGTGATATTGTGGTTAAGAACTCAGCTTCTATATAGAAACCAAGCTCTTGGTTCACATTCCAGCTCCTTCTGGAACTGATCCAAAATGCTGCGCCCTTTCTGGGGAGAAGGCCCACGTCTGCATCCAGTTCCCAAACGAGTCTGTGCGTCCACGCTGGTCCGGGGCGCGATGCTCTCAAACGCAGATGCGGTTCACACGGTCCTCTGGCGGGTCCCTCCCAACTCCTGCTGAGGGCAGTCGCCTGCCCGGGACACGCAGGGGTCGAGTTCGGCCGCTGGGCTTGACTCTCTGCGTCTTGGATGCCCCCAGGCTGTGAGCTGGGGTGGCCCTGCCAGGATTTCAGCAGCTTGTGCTGGAGGACGCTCAGCGCCTTTAGGACCAGGCGTTGTTTATACTTGAGGATAATTCGGGAAGATCCAGGCACTGAGGAAACACATCCCTGGGGGCCAGGGAGGCAAGGGCCCCTCTAGAACGTTCTCTCCTGGGTTGGCAGCCTGTGTGGATGGAGACAGGGAGACACAGGGTGGCCTCTGAAGGCTTTTCTAACACTCCCCGGGCCTGCCTCTGCCCCAGGTGACGAGAGACCCTGGGAATCCAGCCAGCTTGGGCCTGTTAAGCCGATCCCCGAGGCTAAACCTTCCCAGAGAGCCGAGGGGCAGCTCTCCCTGAACTGCCCAGGCCCCACCAGACTGGCCTCTGAGCTCCTCCCTGGGCCCAAGCCATGGCTTTCTATGCTCGGAAACCCACACACAGACAGAGACCCGCCCACAATGGTCCACGGGCCCCACACGAGGTAACCCCCCACCCCTGCACCTTCCCCTCTGTTCACGCCGCTCAACCACACGGGCCTTTGGCTGGCCCTGGACCGAGTCAGACTCACGCCTGCTCTGGTGTTTCTGGGCTGTGCCCTCTCCCAGGCACCAAGCTCCTTCACTCCCTTCCTCCAAGTCCTGGCTCCAAGGTCACCTTCTCGGGGAGGTCAGCCCCCTGCTTGCCCCTGTCCTCACCTGCTCCCCACTCACGTTCTTATCACCTTCCACAGCCTGCAGCTGGCTTACCTGGTGTTTACTGTCTGTCGTAATTGCCAAGTGCCCAGAGCAGTGCCTGACCCTTAAATGGCACCCAGTAAATATCTGTGGGAAGGGTGCATTCATCCTCATTGGAGCTGCCATTTACTGAAAGCCTACTATGTGCTGACTATTGAGCTAGGTGCTCCACCTCCCAGTCCTCTCACAGCATCTCCTCGATGGGTGCTATTATCAAGCACGAACGGGAAACTGAGACTCTCAGAGGGGACCTGCAGAACTCTGAGTCAACCCCCAGGGGCCGTGTGAGTCGGAGCCAAGCTTTTTGTGTGACCCCATGGGATTGCTTGGCCTCTGAAACCCAGTGGTTTTCCTGAGCCCACCTCCTGGCCCAGCTGACAGCCTGGCTCCACGGCCGCCTTTTGAGCCACTGCGATCGCGCCCTCGGCTGCTCTTGGCGATCAGCGCTGAGGTTTACGGTGTAGCTGTGGGTTCTGGTGGTGCCTTGGCTTTTGTCAAATACAAGGGCATCGGGCCTGGCTCGCAGTCACAGTAGATAAGTTGTGACCTTCAGAGAAAGTGCCGAGTGCTCCCTCTCCTTTGCGGGCCTCCTGGCCGTCGAGTGTGGCTTCATTCGGCCTTGCAGCCCTGCCCTGCGCCCACGTGGACAAAGGTCGCCAAGGGGAGGGATGGCGAGTCAGGCTCACCTCACGGCGGTCCTCGTCTCCACAGCCACCCGGACCCTTGCTTCCAGCTGACGTGGTGGCTCTGCGATACCTTAAAGCAGTGCCTGTGGTTTATTCCGAGTTCCATTTGCTCCTGGCAGAAGGGTGGGTTGGTGCGATTCAGTCTGGCAGCCCGCGTGGCGCGCGCGATGGTGCCAGTTTCATTATCAGAAGTTCTCGGCCCCTCCGTCGGCCCACCGGGCATCTCCGAAGCCGCTCACGCCGGGGCCAGGCTTCCCCAGCCATTAGCCTCCATCTTCTCGCTGTCGGCCTCGCTGTCCCCGCCCCTCACCACGCATGCCTTGTAGAGTCTGGACATTTTTAAGTTGTTTTCCATTGGAGCGGTGGTGTGGGTGTTGGCAGGGGCCTTTTTCAGAGCCAGAGGCTGGGCGTGGCGGAGTTGGCTGTGTTCTTGGCGCTAGCTCGGGCTCGGGCCCTCTAATGAGTTGGTTTGGCTTTCATCTCTCTCTAGTGTGAGAGAGAGAGCCCAGGCTTGCTTCTCAGTTTCTCCCCAGGGTGTTGCAGTGTGGAGGAGCTACCTGGGAATTCGGAGAGGAAAACGATTAGAGCAGCGGGTCTCAGCCGTGGCTGCACATGAGAATCACCTGGGAATCCTATTAAAATCCTGATTTCTGGGCCTCGTCCTCCAGAAATTCTGTTTCTTTGTTATGGGGTGGGGCCACAACATAGTAACAAAGAAACAGAATTTCCGGAGGATGAGGCCCAGAAATCAGGATTTTAATAGGATTCCCAGGTGATTCTCATGTGCAGCCACGGCTGAGAACCGCTGCACTAGAGCTCCCTGTCTCAGAGTCAGCGCTGAGACTGGCTGCGTGCGAAGGGCGGCAAGTATCTAAGCAAATGTAGTCGTGACGAGGCAGTTTGCTTTGTCTTTTAGGCACAGGCGTCCCATTCCATGCGGCTCACCTACATCGTCTCAGCTCCCAGGGCCCTAACGTAGGATGGGTTTGGTGTTCATGTAGGTGCCCAAAAGAATGCAAACGTGATGGATGGTTGTCTTCGACTGCATACCTTCCAAACTGTATCCCACTCATCCTCGCCACAACCCTGGGAGACCAGTATTAATTTTTCCATTCGGACTTTGACACGGCTAATGGGTGGCAGAACCAGCAGGTGCATCCAAATCTCTCTTCCCCCTCCCCATTCCCCTCCACCCCCGCCTACGGCACTGAGCCCCACACGGTGCTGCCTTTTCCTTGGCTGTTCCTGCCACGGACACATTATCTGTCCTCTGAGAGTTCTCTTTGCAGAAAAACACAGGGGATAGTCCGCCTTAGCCCCCATGATCTGTGTTAAAGAATAAGACTCTGTAACCTTTGTTGCTAGGCAAACACCAGATCTGGGCAGGACAGGTGCTGCTGAGGGTTCCCCATCCCCTTCGAACAGAATCTGCGGTGACTTATTTTGGCAAAGAACAAACTCTAGCTGATAACTTCATGTGAGTCAGGACGCATGCTCCGTGTGAATCTTGATTGACCTGATATCTTGAAATCAGAACTGCGAAAGAATTGATGAACTGTGAGGTAATTTATTTTATCTCTCATTTTTATTTCAGGGAAGTTTAATCAGCATTAATAGCACTTGCACGGAGATTGGCAATTTTGACAATGCTGATGTCACTGGAGAGATAGAATTTGCCATTCGCTATTGCTTCGAAACCCGTTCTTTGGAAATATGCATCCAGGCCTGCAAGAACCTTGCTTACGGAGAGGAGAGGAAGAAGAAGTGCAACCCGTGAGTTCCTTTGTCTGCGTTTTGATGTAGATGACAGGCATATTAATTCTGAAGTTTACATGGAAAGTCCAAAATAGCCAACACAATTGTAATGGAAAGAACAAAAGGTAAAAAGACACACGTCAAGAGCCACTGTAAAGTTCCAGTCACTCCGACAGTGTGTGTTGGTGGGAGGCCAGATAAGCAGGTTGGTAGAGCAGAATCAGAAGTCCAGACACAGACCTGAGCGTCTACGGGAAGTCACACCATCAAGGGGCTACTAGAAATCAATGCATAAATGGTGTTGGAAAATTTGCCTTTCCATATAGGAAAAATAAAATTAAAATCCTGTCTCACACAATCTGTAAGCAGATTACATTTCTCTCCGACTGATAGATATGAAATGGTGTCACGTTATTTTAACATGCGTTTCCTTGATGAGTAACAAAGATAAGCAACTATTTATGTACCATCAGCCACTCAGGGCTTCCCGTCCGTGAACTTCCTGTCATCTGAACGATGGCCGAGTGGGAAGCATCAGGAATCCCTCTCCCCACATAGACAATAACGGCACTGGCAGGATCCGTCTGATGCAACTGTTTTGTAAATGGAGTCTTTGAAGGCTTGCAACTTGCAGCAGAAGGCTTCCATGGTTAGCTGGAGTTCGCATCAGTCAGTGCCAGCTCTCAGCGCAGTAGCAGCTACCCATCCTCCACCTCCAACCCCGTGGCGGGCAGCTGCGCACGTGTTCCTAGAGCAGCTTGCACTCCGCTTTCAGGAGCCAGGGTGGGCGAAAGGATCCTGTCCTCCAGAGATCAGGGATCTGTTCTCTGATTGCTGGTTGCTGCTTCTGACCACAGAGGTGCAGACAAAGAAGCATACGGCCATTGTTGCTTCATCTCCTCCCAGAGCTGCACTATCTCCCCCTCTGGCTGATGTAAGTTCCAGGGTTTATAAGGGCCAGTGCCCTTATTTGTCTCCCTTTTTCATTTTTCCCCCCCACCTGTAAGCCAGACACTACAGACTAGGACATTCACAAGTAACTGCATCACAAGAAAAATTAGAAAATAAACATGCATGCTCAGGGAAAGGTGCAGGCTCAGAAAAAAAGCCTGAGTTTACATCTCAGGCTTATCTTTGGCACAGGAGCAATAAACAAAATAACAAAAGACAGAAAGCCTTGGCAAGGGGGAGAATCTGATTTCCAGAGTTAACATGTTATTAGACACAAATGTCCAGTATTCAACAAAAATAAGACATATAAATAAACAGGAAAGTATGGCTCATTCAAAGGGAAGTAATAAATTAACAGAAGCTGTCCCTAAAAAAAGATCTGATGACAGGCTTACTAAACAAAGACTATACAACATTATCTTAAAGATGCTCAAAGAACTAGAAGAAAATGTGGAGGAAGTCAAGAAAATGATGTGTGAACAAAGTGAAAATATCAACAAAGAGAGAGAGAACCTAAATAGAAACCAAAAAGAAATTCTCCAGTTACTGAAATGAAAAAGTCACTGGCGAGATTTGAAGGCAGATATGAGCAGATGGAAGAAGGGAGCAGTAAACTTGAAGAAAGGTCAACAGAAATTATTGGGTTTGAGGAAAAGAAAGAAAAAAGATGGAAGAAAAGCAAACAGAACCTAAGGGACCTGAGGGCCACCATCAAGTGGACCAACATCGCATAAGGGAGTCTCAGAAGGAGAAGAGAGAGAGCAAGGGGCAGAGAGAATATTTGAAGAAGTAGCTAAAAACTTCCCAAATTTGATGAAATTCATGAATATAAACATCAAAGAAGCCCACTGAACTCCAAGTAAGATGAACTCAAAGTGACTCACCCTGAGACATAGTATTAACAAACTCTTGAACGACAAAGAGAATCTGGAAAGCAGCAAGAGAGAAGCAAATCCTCAAGATCTTCAGCAGATTTCTCATCAGAAACTTGTCAGGCCATCAGGCCAATGTATTCAAAGTGCTGATCTCTCTGTATAAAAGCCTAAGCGACCATGCGACTGTTCCACCGTCCCATCGGTAGCTCTGATGCGCAATGACATCCAGGGGGAAGATGCTGTGACCGGTAGCTGTGACACACACTGACCACCAGGGGGCAGACACTCCAGGAGCTGCCGAGCTGTGATGACTTGGCGGCTGCGGTTCTCAGATGATGCACCCAGAGCCAGAGAGGAGGGAGCCCAATTCTGGGGTGCGTCACCCAAGAACCACCCTCTCGCAATCTGGGACCTGTTGGGGGATGTTGGAGAGCTGGTTTTGGCCTGATCCCCAACAGCCAGGCCGAGGGACCCCGCTGGTGCACAAATCCATGCACTGAGCCTTTAGTATATAATAAGTACCTCCTTGTTGGTAATTACTTTACATGTACATGAATCAGACTCTCCAATCAAAAGACAGAAATCGGCACAGTGGGTAAAAACATAGGATCCAACCATATGTCATCTATAAGAGACTCACTGTAGATCCAACAAATAGAAGATATTCCATGCAGATAGTAACCAAAGAGAACAGGAGTGGCTATACTAGTAACAAACAAAGTTAAATCAACAAGGTTACAAAGGATAAAGGACATTATCCTATATAATAAAAACCTAATATGTGCTAAGGGTCCGGTCATCCATTTGTCTGTTCAACCAATCAAAGCGTAATATGCTAATGATATGCTAAGGCTGCTCAACCGCTCGCTATGATGTACACTGACCACCAGGGGCAGATGCTCCGACTGGTAGGTTAGCTTGCTGCTGGGGTCCGGCCGATTGGGACTGAGCGAGGGGCTGGACATGCCCTGGAGCCCTCACACGGTCCCTCCCTGGCTGGCCAACCTCCCGCGTCCCTCCCCGGTCCTGATTGTGCACCATTGGGGTCCCTCGGCCTGGCCTGCACCCTCTCGCAATCTGGGACCCCTTGGGGGATGTCAGAGTGCTGGTTTCGGCCCGATCCCGCAGGCCAGGCCGAGGGACCCCACTGGTGCACGAATTTGTGCACTGGGCCTCTAGTATACTAATAAAAGGTGTAATGCAGCAAGAAGATATAAAATATATAAATGTTTATGAACCTAATAACAGCCCATCAAGACATATGAAGCAAAAAACTGACAGAGTTGAAGGGAGGAGTGGATGGTTCCACAGTAATCCTTGGAGATGTCCATCCTCACTCTCAGTAACAGAACAACCTGCCAGGAGAAAAGTGAGGAAACAGGACTTAACATCGTAAGCCAGTCAGATGCATGGGTGTGATTTTGTTTCAGTCCTTTAAGCTGTGCAGGTGTATCTCATACACCCTCTTTCATGTGTGTGGGATCTGATGATGATCAGCAAGTTAAAAGTGAACAGTGAGGATCGGTGCCCACGACCTGGAGTACTTTCCCAAGAACTCTGATTGACAGGGAAGAAGAGGCGGAGCCTGGAGCTCCAGGGGGGACCCAGATGAAGGGAGGGCGATTGCTCTTTGCTTTGGGGAAGTTGAACCTGTTCCTAGCCTGTGGGAATGGGTGCCTGGTCAAGGGGGGTCATTGCCATGGACAAAGCTGCCAGAGGAGCCAGGGAGGAAAGTCTCCGGACCTGGGTAGAGGGACCGACCTAGAACAGGGTTTCAGGGGGGCAGAGGGCTGGTGGAGGTGGCCTGTCACGCCGCCCCGCCAGCTATGCTGCAGCCCCGAGTCCGCAGAGGGCTGGTCCGCAAGTCAGGAGGACAAGCTGGAGGACAGGCGAGGGAAGAGCCAAGTGTAAGGCACACACTTCCCATTTCCACTTTTCTTTCTGGGGGTGGGGGGGGTTGGATGGAGTGACAGGTGGGGAGGACAATTGGCTCGTGGCCTCTGCATCCAGAGATCCAGGAGTCTGCCCCCCTGGAGCCCCCCCTCCCCCAGAGCCTGGCAGGTGGCACCCACCCAGACACATTCCAGGGGCAATGGCCGCAGACTGTGTAAACAGAAGCGGCGTCCCCAGCATGGCATTGCTCACTGTCCGTGGTGGCCCCTGACTCTTCCTATCAGCGCCCAGCTCAGCAGCAGGCAGGGCAAAGACTCCCGCTCCCGCCTCGCCCAGCCTCACCCTGAGCCTCACCTGCCCTGTCTCCTTCAGGTACGTGAAGACCTACCTGCTGCCTGACAGGTCGGCCCAGGGCAAACGCAAGACGGGAGTCCAGAGGAACACGGTGGACCCGACCTTCCAGGAGACCTTGAAGGTACTTTCCGGACAAACGTTCCCCTGCAGAGTCTCCCGTCCTGGGCGGGCACAGGGCCAGAGTCCATGAAGGCTCCTCCACACCCTGAGTCAGTCCAACAGGAGCGCAGACACTGCTGATGCCCGCGGGGCTGGCAGTCGGGGCGCGGCTGGGTCACCCTTCATCCTGGGTGGGAGAAGGGCAGTCCTCGGGACTGTCCGGGAATGATTTCCGAGAAAATGGTGGAAAAGAACTTGGCTGCCCCTGAGCTTTTAAGACCAGGTTGTCCTGGCGAGTTTTTGTAACTCTCAGAGCATTCGCAGGCCGGCAGCCTGTACCCTCAGCGACTGGGTTACCGGCTGCAAAAGTGCCCCCTAATTGCAATATCTGGAAACCCAGCGTTCTTCTTCTTTTAAGAAACAACTTTTATAGAGGAATTGTTTGGGTTTTCACCTTCCTCGGTGCTAAACATGATTTGTGTTTAGGGCAGGGATGGGGGAGACTCCTCACACTGGGGGTGAGGAGGGAGAGGGGATGATGTGTGAGGCACGCAGGTTAAGTGGGGGAGGCCCCGCACCGAAGGACAGGCCAGACTCACGGAAAGTACCCATGGAGGCTGAGCAGCCCCGGGACCCCGTGTGCCAGGACTGGAAAGGGGAGGGCTTGGCTTGGCCTCCTGCTGAGAAGGGGCATTTGTGAACTCCCAGCGGGGCCATCCGGCAGCTGGCACGAAGCCCCGTCTGTTAAATATTCATGCTGCTGTTTTCTGTGCCCCTACTGTGGGCACGTGCTTTATGGACCCCCTGAGCTAAGGGTTAGACTCCCATCTACCAATGGGGAAACGGAGGCTTATTGAACCCGCAGTGGACTAGCCGTCCTTCTCAAAACTGATGTGCCCAGGGGTCCCCAGGGACTGCAGAGAAACGCAGGCTGTGACTCAGCAGGTGAGGGCGGGGCCTGAGATGCTGCTGTGGACGCTCCTAGCCATTCCCAGGAGACTGGTCTCAGATGGCTCTGCTTGCGGACCTGCTGCAGGAGTCGGCAAAGATCTGTCTCCTCACACATCCCAAGTCGATGTCTAAAACTGCTTCTCCGTTTCACTAAGGTGTTTTTGCTAGAGAGAGGTAGACGCGTATTTTACATTTTATGAAATGAGATCAAATTGAGGATGGACTACATTTTAGATACATATTTAATTGTATAATTTGATTTTTAAAGTTTAACTTGTTTAAAATGCACGCAGAATCTCAGAGAATCACCTAACGTTTTATGCGTTGGTTTTACCCAGCGTATTGTGAGTGCTTCGGTGGTGCCGGAAAGCTTCCCGGGGACATTGAAAAGAATCATTGTCCCTAATCTAATCTAAATCAGAGCATCCGGACACAGTCTTTACAGAAATGCATGGAGAAGCTGAGAGATCATGAAGAGTTCTGCAGAAATCAGTATTTCCAATTACCATTCGTTTAGCACACGGGGGGTTCGCACATCCTGGGGCCAGGTGCCAGATCCGGGGTGTAGGAGCCGCCTTCCACCAGTTTTGAGGCTCTAGAACAGTGGTTCTCAACCTTCTGGCCCTTTAAATACAGTTCCTCATGTTGTGACCCAACCATAAAATTATTTTCGTTGCTACTTCATAACTGTAATGGTGCTACTGTTATGAATCGTCATGTAAATATCTGATATGCAGGATGGTCTTAGGCGACCCCTGTGAAGGGGTCGTTCGACCGCCAAAGGGGTCGCGACACACAGGTTGAGAACCGCTGCTCTAGAAGTTGAGGTGGCTGCAGGTGTCCGTGTGGCACATGGGCACGCCCAGGAAACCTTGGGCCCAGGTGACTGTGTGCAGGGGCCAGGCGGTTCAATAGCAGCGTTCGCCCTGGCCGCGTGCACAGGTGGTGGGAACAGCGTCCCAGTGCGCCCAGGTTGCAGGTTTGATTCCCAGTCAGGGCACAGGCAGTTTCCTAAGCGGTGGGGTGGTGCGGGGGGGGTGGGGAGGGGGGAGGGGGACAAGGGAGCCCTCTCCCCGCCTCTTCCTGGACATCCACCCCCCACTGAAGGGAGGCCCCGCCACCTGGGCCCTGGGGCCTGGGCGTGCGGCCCTGGAGCGCAGGCTGACCTCCCTGTTCCGTCTGCAGTACCAGGTGGAGCTCGCCCAGCTGGTGACCCGGCGGCTGCAGGTGTCCGTGTGGCACATGGGCACGCTCACCCGGCGGGTGTTCCTTGGAGAAGTGATCGTCCCTCTGGCCACGTGGGACTTTGAAGACAGCACCACACAGGCCTTGCGCTGGCACCCGCTGCGGGCCAAGTGACATCTGGTCGGGCCTGGGGCCCGCTCCCACCGGGAGCGCTTTTCCGAGGGATCCAAGAGGAGAGGACCCCCCCCCCCCAGGAAACCTTGGGCCCACGTGACTGTGCCACGGGCCAGGCGGTTCAATAGCCGCGTGTGCCCTGGCCGCGTGTGCAGGTGGTGGGAGCAGCATCCCAGTGCGCCCAGGTTGCAGGTTTGAGTCCAGTTGGCGCACATACAAGTCTCAGCCAATGAGCATAACTAAGTGGAACAACAATTCTCTCTCCCTCTTTCTCTCAAATCAATACATTTAAAATAAAGTAAACAGCAGCTTTCTAGGGAGAAAAGGCTCCGTGTCAGACTCATCTGTGGGCTCACCTGCTCAGGTTCGTTCGGGACCCGAATAGCCCTAACCTGTGCCACCCAGTGCCAGCCTGGGTCCGGCCAGGGCCCAGCCCTTCCTCCAAGGCCGGTCACTCGGTGTCAGCTGGGGTGGCCTCAGCCTCCTCCGGGCTCGGCCAAAGTCCACGCCCTGTGCCTGGCTGCCCGCGGGCGGGGCCGCAGCTCAGGCCTTTGGGTGTGTTGTTCCTAAACCCCCCCGGCCCGCCCCGGACAGCGGTGAGCAGGACCGGGCCCAGTGCTGCCGGCTGCGAGGCTGCCCTGCCCGTGGGACGGCGTGCCCTGTGCAGGGCGGTGGGACAGGCCAGGAGGAGTCGCCGGGAAGGGAGAGGGCAGCAAAGGCCGGGGCTTCCTGCGTGGCCGCCTTGCACATTTCTGTGCCGAGATCCAAGACCCGGAGAGAGACCTAAGGGGGAAGGGGGAAACGTGGGCTCCACTGTCTCCTGAGAAATGACAGCGAAGGTGCAGCCCCGCCCGTGAGCCTTAGGGCCTGGGCCCTCTGCTTGTCCTCCCTGAAGCCAGAGGGATTGTCAGGACACCTCTGTTCCAAGTGGCCACTGCAGGGTCAGGCCGGGCCACTGCAGGGTCAGCCTGTGGCCACCGCAGGGTCAGCCTGCGGCCACTGCAGGGTCAGCCTGCGGCCACTGCAGGGTCAGCCTGTGGCCACTGCAGGGTCAGGCCAGGTTATTGCAGGGTCAGGCCAGGTCATTGCAGGGTCAGCCTGTGGCCACTGCAGGGTCAGGCCAGGTTATTGCAGGGTCAGGCCAGGTCATTGCAGGGTCAATCTGTGGCCACTGCAGGGTCAGGCCGCGGTGCCCAGCCGGACCGCCCCTCCCGCTCTCCTGCACTCCGCTCAGTGGCCTGGCAGCCCCTGGTGCCGGCTCTCCCTTCTCTCGCTCAGAACAGCCCCATGGAATGCTCTCTTCGCCCGGGTCCGCCCAAGACTCCATTTAAGACCCTCCTCTTCCATGAGGCCCCTGGTGTTCCTGCCAGATGTGGCCCCCTAGGCCCCTGAACTGGGGGACCCCACCCGTCTCCTCCCCCAGGACCCCACACTCGGGACAAGTGAGGCTGCCACAGGCCCGGCCATCGTTGGCAAGCGGGTTAGGAGCAGAAAGCGGGCCCGGCGCCCCTGCTGAGCTGGCGGAGAGACGGGGCCCGCACGCACGGGTCTAGGCAGCCGCCACAGCCCTGCCGCTTCCCGGACCCGGACCCGGACCCGGACCCGGACCCGGACCCGGACCCACACGGGAGGGCTGTGTGGTTGTCCTGTGCCGGCGTGGGTCCTGGAAGCGGAGGGTGAGGCAGCCCTCCCTCAGGGCGCCCCAGGCCCCCACCCCGCGAGGGGCAGCCAGGAGACCAGGGGCCACCGCGGCTCTGGGTGAAGCCCCTTCCCATGCCCCCCCCCGCCCCCCCCACGGCCAGGGCTCCGTGGTTCCCGTCTTCTCTCCGAGCCCTTGCCTCACTCACTTTCTGGCAAAATCACTCGTGTCCAGTCACGCCCCGGAGCAGCGGGGAGGCGTCCTGTCCCTGCGGGAGCCGGGACAGAGGGGACATGAGGGGCGACTCGCGGCCTGGAGGGCCCCCCTGTGCCCGGGCTCCGCGGAGCCCTGCGTGGCCCTTCGCGGCCCCAATCTCCCCTGCCCCTGCCCCCGTCCCCGCCCCTGTCCTTGTCCCTGCCCCTGCCCCCACCCCTGCCCCCACCCCTGCCCCCAAAGCAGGCTGCGCGGTGGCTGAGGTTTCCCAGCATTTGCCGTCTCCCACCGGTCCGCCTGCTCCCCTAAGCGCCCAGCTGTGGAGCCACCTGGGGAAGGGGCTCCCTGGAATGTGAGCTTGGAAGGGAATTGAAGGCCCCAGCAGCCCCCACCCCACCCCCCGCACTGGGGGCACCTCCCAGGGCCTGGCCGCCTGGCTGCGCGCCGCCTGCTCACCCCTGCGTCACGGCCGGGGGGGGGGGGGGGGCTCTTTGGGAGACTCCGGGCCTGCAAGGCTCTGCGAACAGGCCCAGCCCCCCACCCCCGCCCCCCCTCACTCGAGCAGTGGCTGCCCAGCAGGATGACGGGCAAGGACATGGGGACATGCGGAAGATGAGGTGGCCATGGCCGTGAAGACGGACAGTGAGCAGTTCCATGGTGCATTTTAGCGGTTTCCTGTTTGGCTGGCCCTGCAGACCAGCAGCACACACCCCCTGCTCATCTCCACCCCCTGGAACAGAGGCCTGGGCCCCCTTCGTCCAATCCCACTGGCGCCCACCCTTCCTCTCCCTGCGTTCTCTCGACTCCTCGGCAATCCCCGCAGCCTGGTCACGCGGCCGAGGCGCTGCTCCTGGGGCCTGTGGACTGTCACACGTCTTTGCTGAGCTACCAGGTGGGGGTGGGGGAGGGAGGGGGGCAGGTTGTGCGCAGGGAGGAGGGGGTGGGGGGTGATAGCAAATGGCGGCTTCTCTTCCAGCGACAAGAGATCAGCCATCATGTGACGTCAACTCTGTCTGGTGGTGCTGGGAGCCAGGAATTGACCGGTGCGGTCAGGTGGCACCTGAACTCCTGTGTCAGGGGGTAGGTATTGGGTTTAATAGAACATTATTTACTGGTAATTTACTATACGTATGGCATGGGCCTGGGGCAGTGGTCGGCAAACTGCAGCTTGCGAGCCACATGTGGCTCTTTGGCCCCTTGAGTGTGGCCACGAGGTTTCAATTGCACTGTACGTGTGCGCCCGCACGTGGTATTTTGTGGAAGAGCCACACTCAAGGGGCCGCAGTTTGCCGACCACTGGCCTAGGGAATACAGGAAACACCAACAAGGGTGAGCCATGTTAAACCCCCAGTGTTTTACCTTTCCCACAAGAATTGACTAAGTCGTGTTAAGACTCTGATCTCTGCCCTCGCCTGTTTGATTCAGTGGGTAGAGCGTCAGCCTGTGGACTGAAGGGTCCCAGGTTTAATTCCGATCAAGGGCACATGCCTGGTTGCGGGCTCAGTCCCTAGTAGGGGGTATGCAGGAGGCAGCTGATCAATGATTCCCTCTCATCATTGATGTTTCTATTTCCCTCTCCCTTCCTCTCTGAAATCAATTAAAAAAAAAAAAAAAAAAAAAAAAAAGACTGATCTCCAAAATGTGTGCTGAGTCTAGGTTTGGATACCGCATTGGTCCTCATCATAGCGAGTCAGCATTCACTGACTGAGCGGGAACATGGAAAAAAGGCGAGTTTATAAATATTTCCTCAGCTTCTGCGTCACATCTCCCTCTATTAACGGTAAGATGGGTGACTCAGCAGATTTCATTCTGACTTAACCCCAACCCTTAGGGTTAGGATTAGAATTTAGGGTTAGGGTTTAGGTTTAGGTTTAGGGTTAGGGTTAGAGTTTAGGGTTAGGGTTAGAGTTTAGAGTTTACATTAGGGTTAGGGTTAGGACTAGGGTTAGAGTTTAGGGTTAGGTTTAGGGTTAGAGTTTAGGTTTAGGGTTAGGGTTAGAGTTCAGGTTTTGGGTTGGATTTAGCGTTAGGCTTTAGGGTTATAGTGTAGGGTTAGGGTCAGGGTTATGGGTTAAGTTTATCGGTGCATCGTTTTCAAAAGTAAAGCAAATACCATTTTCCCAATTGATTTGAAAGAGAGAGGAAGGGAGAGGGAGACAAGCATCCATGTGAGAGAGAAACATAGATCGGCTGCCTCCTGCACGTCTGTCCGGGGTCCCAGCGGTAAACCTGAGCACGCGCCCTGACTGGGCACTGAATAGTGACCCTTTAGATGCACGGGACACGCCCTCCCAAGCCACCGAGCCAGGCTGCCAACTCCATTCTGATGTAGAATCGCTAAATCCCGGCAATGCCACGGTGGGAAGTGATGGCGACTAGTGCGGAGCGTGTCCTCACCCGGGACGGCTCGTATGGCCTTGGGGAGTTGCTTTGTGCTTCTGAACTTAACCTCCTGAAGAAGACAGGGCTAAAACAAGGTAAGGGGTGCGCCTGGTCCTGGGCCTGCTGGCAGGCCTCATACGTGGGCTGTGGCCGGCTGGGAGGCCGAGGAGGGGATTGCGCGAGGGACCACATGGCCTCAGCATCCCAACCGCCCCAGTGCCTGGTGCAGATCCCGCCAAACTCAGAGCATCCTCCCCAGAGGTCCTCTCCAAGCCTGTGGCTCCCGCTCTCTTCCATTTGTTTGTATTTTGTGGTGGACTTAGCCCTCTTCTTAGCTCTAATCATCTCCCTGATAAGCAAGTACCAAGAAGCCAGGGGGTGTTGGAGGGCGGGATGGCAGCTGTTTTCCTTCTCAGCTGCCTCTCTGCCGGACACAGGAACACTCAGGCTGCGTCCCGGTCCTGAAGAAGCCAGCGTATCTGCCCTGGTCGTCCTCCTGGTCTCCGACAGCGTGACCCCTCCCAGCGCCGGCAGGCCTGCCTGGGGCTGACGTCTGGGACCACCTGACCCGGTGTGCATGACCGCGTGCTGGGCGAGGCCAGGCTGGGACCCGGGGAGTCTGGTTGATGTTTATTGGGCCCGAGTGCGTGGTTGGTCCTTAGGGACTTACAGGGACACCATGAAAAGAAGAGGCACATTTCCTCGAGGGCAGGCGATGTCACTGGCTTTGGAGTTGCCTAACCTGCCATAGATGGAAGGTGCCGAGTCTAGGTCTGGCTATACAGCGGGGCGATAATACAGCAAAGCCTTTCAACCATTTAAATCAGACTTAGGATCTGCTAAGGACACAAAGGTTGCAGGCCTCCACATGGGCTGGGCACAGTACTTGCTTTTGTTCCTGGCGTCAATCATAAGAGGATTATTTGCGTAAAGGAAAATACCTTCTTAAACCATTCGACGGGCAGTTCAGAAAGGATTTCGTTAAGAGTGGGACAAAGGGGCATGCTTTTGTGTTGCCCAGCAGGGGCGCCTCTGACATTTTGTGGGGGACAGTCCTTCCTCGGGGCCTGAGTGTCCCAGTCCTC